ATCTGCAATTTGTCAATCTACTCCTTGTAGTAGGGGCCCACAGCAGCGAAGTGGTTGAAATGGAATGCAATGCTTTAGGTAAGACTTTAAAATGGAGCCAGGTTTTTATTTCCTTCCATGCAATCTGATGTTTCTACGTTGCAAATACGTCCCATTTACCCTACACTGACAAAACATATATCCCCATTTCTTTTACGTAGCTGTATTCCAGGTTTTAACATCTCCAGTACAGGTTAGTGTGTGTTTTCTGAACCCTTTCATGTTTAATTTTTTAGCTGCCATTAAATCATTTCTCTGCAACTATGGGAGAAAGATTCAAATCTTTAACTGTTGTCATCAAAATGACTACTAAGCTGTGAGGTAGGGCAGAATCCTTCAGTACCCAGCAAGAGCACTCTGGCACATAACTCTATGTTTTAATTTACTCTGCAGACACTTTTGTTACAGAGCATTCTACTGCAACATGACTTATTATTTAGTGTCATCAGAAAAAGGTGCTCTTCCCCTACATTTTCTTGCTCTGTGTTCATCTACTGAAAAATCTGTACATTTATCAGCCTCTTCATACCTCAAAGTGTTTCAAGTTCAGTGTGAGAAGTCATGGCTGCAGTTAATACTGAATGAGAAGCCTGGACTCCAGTGGCAGTCAAAAGCTTTGACTTCTGCTGTCCTTCTATGGGTCAACAGTGCCTTTATTTCTTATTTTCAGAGCTTGTTTAGATTTGTGCATGAATGGGAATGTGCATGCAACTTATTAAAGAACAGAAGAGCGGGATCTGCCATCTGCTGTTTTGTATTCTCCCAAGTTAGAAATAAGCAAAATAGGTAAAAACAACCTTGTTCTTTTATTATTTTATTTGGCTGAATATACATTTGGTTGAATATATATACATATGTATACAATATACATATTGCATATGTGTATGTATACATACATATTAAAATGGTCCTGCATTTGGGCCACAACAACCCCATGCAACGCTACAGGCTTGGGGAAGAGTGCCTGGAAAGCTGCCTAGAGGAAAAGGACCTGGGGGTGCTGACTGACAGCTGAAAATGAGCCAAGGTGTGCCCAGGCAGCCAAGAAGGCCATCAACATCCTGGCCTGTATCACAAACAGTGTGGGAAGCAGGGCCAGGGCAGTGATCATCCCCTGTACTGGGCACTCGTGAGGCCCCACCTTGAATCCTGGGTTCAGTTCTGGACCCCTCACTACAACAGAGACATTGAGGTGCTGAAGCAGGTCCAAAGGGCGACAAAGCTGGTGACAGGCCTAGAGCACAAGTCTTATGAGGAGCAGCTGAGGCAACTGAGGTTGTTTAGCCTGCAGAAAAGCAGCAACTTTGTTGGATTCTCTGCAGTTTTTAATTTCAAGATCCTCTTTTTTTATCCCAGTCTAAATAGCTTCATTTATTACAAATTCTAAAGTTATGTATTGAGCAGCTTTTTAAAGCCAATTGCCTCTTGATTATAAAGTAATATTCTGCATAAATTCAGGATAAGATATACCACGACACTAAGAACTGTAGGCTTTGTTCCAGAAATATTTGTTCTCACAGTCTTACAGTACTGAGTCACTGTAACAGGTACACAGATGCCTTTTCTTTTTAAATCACTTATATACTCACCCACAGAATTCTTCATACCCTGCAGTGAATTATCCATGCATTGTTAATCAACCTTGTTTCCCAGGTTCGCTGCCTACTCTTATGCTCTATTTTCCTTGTGTTCTGTTGTAACTTTTGAAATGATGCAAGCCACTGATCTTATTTCATCCTTTGGGGTTCAAGACAATTACCATGCTGTGTTTAAAAAGTTGCCTTCATACAGCATTATGCAATTGACATCATGTTGCACTCTTTCTGCTACCTTATTATTATTTTAATTAAAAAGTGGTCATGGAACAACATCTTTGTTTCCACTCCTAATAAAAAGCACCCTAAAATGATAAATGAGTACAAAAAGCTTTACCACAAAGACTGGTGTCCAAGAAATGTGTAATATTGATAGGAAGGATTTTATCAGGGCACCTACTGTATGAAAGGAAGGGACATACAAGTGCTCTTATACATGATTACACAGATTCCTTAGATCCTGCCAGAGGCTCCAAGTAGAACAGGAGAAACTAGCACAGGGAGGCGTGCCCCTTTTTATTGGATGACTTTGAAAAGATACGGCTGCTTTGTGTTTGCGTGCATATGCGCTTTTGTACTTCTCTGTCCCACAGCAATTGGCAAGGAGCTTTAGACTGAGGCAGTCTGGCTGAACGAGGCTTTGCATGCTGATACACACGTGGAAAAATAAGCACCTTCACATCTGGAACGCAAGATTTTAAAAGAAACAGCAGTATCTTTTTTGTGAGCTTCTACAACTGATTGAGGTGGGAACCTCCTTTGTGGAACTGCACTTGGCAGCAGATCTAGCATTTCTTGTCTTCCTACAGGACATGGGAGAACTGTAAATCATCCTACTCCTTTCCCACAGAATAATGTTTGCAATCCTGCACTGAGGGCACTAACTAGGGAGACAGGTTAACCTTTGCCTTTAGTCAAGACTGCTGTTAGCTCTCCACTTAAAATCATCGCCTTCATGTTTGCTATTCTGAAACCTACCCATCAACTTGTTAGTTTCAAGGGCAGGAATGTAATCTGGTTTAGAGACTGATTTTTGTTCTTTTCTTACCCAGCTGGTGTGAAACTGGAGATGTCTGCAAACAGAACTCTCCCAGCTGCCAACCACAGGTCTCTCTCAAGAAGAAATGAGTTGGAGCTACCATAATGATGTTTTATGTAGGCAAAAAACTGCAGGTACACCTCCTGGTTTGATACCCCCCTAGTTGGTTCTCAGGTGTCCTTCTGCAGCTCTGAAAGCCTGATTTCTTGCGTGTGTTAGCTGCAATTTACATGAATTATCTTGCTCCAACAGGTGTGTTATAAAGAAATGCAGCTGACACTGTACGAGTTGATGGAATATTGAGAGTTCTGGATTGATAAGCAGGGTAAGTCTGCCCCTTTTGGTGTAAATTTCAGTCAGTGAGGAGGCAGGTTACTCAGCACTGCATGCAAGCTTGTGCTTGCCAAGCCACTGCCTAACACAACGATGCAGCTCTTATCAAACACATATGGCCCAAGAAAGATTGTGCAGTCCCGGTTCTTTACAAATAGTTGAGTCAGAGTCATAGGTTTATAAATTGCCTTGTATTTTGAGAGGGACAAGGGATTAGATGTGATATAGGGATAATATGGAAGAGGGAGAGAAGGCAAGAGAAGCAAGGCTCTGGGGCAAAGGGATAAAGAAATCAGGCAGCCTGGTGAGCTATGTCAGAATCCCTCTGCAATTTGAAGGCTCCTTACAGCCTCATGTCACTGAACAATTTTAAATGTTAATGCAAAGTGTGAAAAAACCCCAATTTTTATTAACTTCAAACTGGGGGGGGGGGGGGAACGGGGGGGAGGGAGAAGTATCTATTGCTTATCGTTGTAATTATTTTTTTCCAAAGCTTTGTCAAAGGAGAGAGCGGAGCACCAAAGACTGTGGCCTCGGAGAAAACAGCCTTTACTTTGAAAACAGCTGGAAATTATCCGAGGAAGATAGTAAGAGGCAAGCTTGACTAACGAGATGTTCAGCAACCTCAAACACAAGAAACTGGTTTTGCAGGTTCACTCTGTAAATCAGATCAACAAAATGATCTGGATTAAAAAAACCTACAAGAGCCATCTTTGTCCTTCCCTCCCCCATGCTTTGTTCTTTGTTAGGCTCTGTTGTTTCACGGGCACAGCTGATTGTGTAGGCCTACAAACAGCTGCATCAGCAGTACTTAAGGAGTTGATGCTGATGCTTTTAGAGGTGAGGATCTCTCGTTGCCTCGGAGACAAGATGTTTAGAGTGTGTTCAGAAAGGACATTAATCTTCAGTACAAATGTAAACCAGCTGGAAAGAACAGAAAAAATGTATGTGTGAAATAGCCTGGGAGGAAAGCTCAAAAGAGTTGTTGATTTAAAAACTAAGGATGATTGAGGAGATGCATGGAAGTTTCCAGCTTTGCAGCATCTTTTTATACACTCCTCAGGGATTAAATCTTTTACTAATGTCCTCTAGAAACAGGATGGCATGGGGGCAAAACTATAGGATGTATAGATCTACTTTCTTGTATTCAGCCATATGCATAACACTGTGCAGGAGGAGATTGCCTGGAGAACAGTGTGAAAGCATTTAGAGATTAGACAGGCGTCTCTTTGGAATGGTTAAGATAGGGCAGAAACTCCCTGGGAGAAACGAATGCACAAGGCTGGCTCCCACACGGCTTGCTGCGAGCCTCTGGAATCCCGGGGAGCAGCCTGGCCTTGAAATGCACAGAAATCATAGCCGTGCTTCACCGCGCAGTGCAGTCAGGGATGCTCCGTACCGGCACGGCTCTGCAGGGCCGTGGCCTCTCCCCACCACAACCGCAACTGCACATTTTGCGTCTGTTCTCCTTTCCTGCTGAGCCTGACGTCCTCACCTGCTGTAGTTGTGAGGCAAACAAGAGCATTTCATTTGACTTCCAAGTGATTGCAATTTTCTTTTGGGGTTACTGACGGTACCCTATTAATCTTATGTGACCTGTGCGGAAACACTGAAAGCAGAAAGTCGGCAATGGGCCGTGCTCTGCAGAACGTCTGCTGTGGGACCGGACACAATGGCGTCTCTCTACAAACGTTGTTGCTTAAACCCCCTGGGTCCATAACCCCCTGGCAGTATCTCGGTATGTTTTTATTTGTTCACGGTGCGTGTCAAGCATGCCCGGAGATAGCACCTCTCCCTCTCTCCTAGCTGCTGGAACGAGACCGAAGGTTACTTCCCCCCAACCAGGGGCCGAGGGCCGGGTCAAAGCCGTTACTGCGGGTCTGCGCTCGGGGCGGAGCGAGGCACAACACCACCACCCCTCAGCCGCTGCAACAGCCGTAACGGCCGCCCAGTGCGGGGCGGGGCCGGGGCCGGGCCGCTTGGTAGCAGGGCTTCCTGAGGGCGTCGGGCAGTGCGGCAGTGTCTCTACCCATGGCGGCCGGTAGCGGTAACATCGGCGCCGGGGCGCCCGAGCGGCCCTACGAGCTGGTGGTGTTCGGTGCCTCGGGATTCACCGGCCAGTTCGTGGTGGAGGAGGTGGCGCGGGCGGCCGCCAGCGGGGAACTGCGGGGCGCCCTGCGCTGGGCCGTGGCCGGGCGGAGCAGGCAGAAGCTGCAGGCGGTGCTAGAGCGGGCGGCCGAGAAGCTGGGTACGGGCCATGGGTCGTGTGGCGCAGTGCCGTCGTCCGGAACCGGAGGGGCTAGCGCGGCCCCGGTGTCGGGGGTCTGTCGTTAGGAGCCGCCCTCGAGGGAGTTTGGGCAAGGGCCGCGGGGAGAGCCGGGGCAAGCCCCTTGGTGCTGGGGCGGCGGTGGTTTGTGTCGGGGTAGGAAGGGATGCTGCCGGGGGCCGGCGGGACGTGTCGGTGACGGCGGTCTCCGGTGCGCAGGGAAGGCGGCGGTGGGGCCGGAGGTCGGCGTGCTGCTGTGCGATGTGGACGACGCGGCCTCGCTGGCCGCCATGGCGAGGCAGACCCGGCTGGTGCTCAACTGCGTGGGCCCGGTGAGTGCGGCGATGCGGGCGCTACTCCCGCGGCTGCTGGCAGAGGCCGGGGCTGCATCTCGGCTGCTTGCGGTTGGGCTCCGCTCCTCGGGGCAGGCGACAGTGTAGCAGGTTGGCGTGGCGAGGTTTTGGTGTGCATGTATGTGTTAAGGTAAAGCATGTTGGGTGAGTTGTGCTGTGGAACTTTCGTTATGTGTGGTGTTCTTTCCTTCTACAGTATAGATTCTTTGGGGAGCCTGTGATAGAAGCTTGTGTTGAAAATGGTGCAAGCCACATTGACATCAGTGGAGAGCCACAGGTATGTGACAGTAGAAAAATGCTACCTTATGGCAGTGTGTTTATTTAGTATGTTTCATGTTCCTGTTAATGTTATGAACAGGAAGGCAAATTCTTCTTCATGATCTACAATTTTAAGATGTGTTAATTATTTTAAAGTACAGTGTGTTAGCTTTTAGGTGAGAGCCTCTAAGGTTCTTTCCAGAAATCCCGAATTTTTGAGTTCTGACTCAAAGTTCAGTTTGATCCTACGTAGGGAATTTGCACAGCTCACGTGTCTATGTCTGTCTCAGATGTAAGTGGGTTGAAGTATGTAGGGTGCTATGATACAACACAGTAAAGCATGGGTGGCTAATATTGGGTATGTCCAAACAGACAGTTCTGCTTAAAGTATTTGTTCTGTGTTTTAGTTTCTGGAAGGAATGTACCTGAAATACAATGAAAAAGCTGCAGAAAAGGGAGTATATGTCATTGGAAGTTGTGGCTTTGACTCTATACCAGCTGATATGGGAGTGCTGTACACCAGAGACAAGTTGAAAGGTGACTTTCAAGTGTGACTTTATGCTGAAAAAGAAATGCAGATTATGTTTTCATTTGATTTCCTAAAGCAGCATTACTTACATGGGAAGTTTTTCAGTCTCTCTTTTTGCCTGCCTTTAGCAGCTGATCAATTTTAACCAGATCTGGTAGGTAGAAATTTTAAAGTAAATCATAATTCCTATTAGATTGAAGAACATTGGTTGTTAGCTAGAAGAGGGATTCAAGGAAACGTTGCTTACAAGGACAACAGAACCTGCAGTTGTTATGAGTGGGCTGTTGAGCCAGTGTGTGGTTGTCCCTTGGCAAGCCTCAGCACACTGCTTCTTGTACAGTGAGAATCTTTGTAGGGAAGAGGCAGTGGGAAAGGGTTTGCAGATTGGTGGGTAACTGGGTTTCCTAAGTTTTGTTTTTCTACCACAAGCACTGAGAAGCTGGTGTATGAGTGTAGGCGGACAGTGCTATACGATACGTTTTACTTTAGGAACAGGTAGACAGTAACCAAAAGAGCATAAATACATTTGAGAAAAGATGTGAGATGTTTGCATGAATTCTGGATCAAATTAGGATCCTGGATGCATAAATTAGGATCAAATTTGCATTTGATCCTAATCTCAAATGAGGATGCTTTGTTCATCACATCTGACTTTCAATTGAAAAGGCCAGTGAGTATCCAAATGTTTTGCTTTCATGGGCAAATAAAACTGCTGTTAAGTGGGTTTGCTTTGCATTGAAGTGTATGGTCTGCTTTCAGTTTAAGAAAACTCAATCTGGATGTGATTGGAGGGAGAGGAGAGGCCTGAAAATGAGCATTTGTTTTTTTGGGAGGTTATAATTTGATGTCTGATACTTTTTTTGAACAAAGATGTCTCTTATCTCTTCCTGTTTTGACTTTATGGTATTGTCACCTGTCTATCCAGTTGCTTGCTATATTGAAATTTGCTCATACAAGTACAGTTTTGTAATCTGGGAAAAAACTGTGCAAAGCAAAACAAATCAGAATTTTGAGGAATTGTTTTATTTTGCTGTTCATCACAACTAAGGATTCTTTGGAAACACAAGATAATATTGCATGGTTTAGGATATCTTGTGAGTTCAGGGTTCTCTGTGGGTTTGTAGGCTTGTGGTTGGTGCTTTGTGGGTTCAGGGGGTTGGGGTGTGGGCATTTGCCCTAAGGTCTACCACAGATTCTTAACTCCATCCTGGTTTTCATAGCCTCCATCATCCTTTATTTTGAAACTTGGAGGAAAGCTAAATATGGTTCTTAATATTATTCTCCTTTTTTATTGATTACATTGTGTCATTCAGTCAATAAGACGTGAAAAAGGTAATGAGTAAAGCTAGCATTGGTGACCTCTACTGAAGTACTTCACATAAGAAATTTGATACTTGCTAACTGAAATAGCTGTGGAACTTAGTTTAATTTGAAACAAAGATGTGACTCTGCCTTTCCAACTAATAATGTCAGTGGTCTGCTATTTGAGGTTACCAGAGTGTATACTGTGGCTTTGTGAACTAGTAATTGTATATGCCAAGTAATGTTTTCTCTTCCCTGAAAGGTACCTTAACTGCTGTTGAAAGTTTCCTGAAGGTGAAATCTGGGCCTGAGGTTAGTTGGTTTATACCTTCTTGGAAAATCAGAGGTATTCTTATTCCCACAGGCCATCAGAATAACTGTTATTAAGTTAATTCAGACCAAGGAACAAGCTGGTATTTCCTTGATGATGAGTCCAAGAGCTTTATTTTTTAGGAGCTAATAAAAGCATCCCAAGCAAACACCCTTTTGTAAGGTTAGTTAGGCCGACGTCCTTACAACGAAGGCCAGAAGTCTGTTGCATTAAGCTGTTTCAATAGTTTTGGCGGAGATGTGGGGAGGATTCATACACAAGTCAACTATAACGGGTACATGGTGTGTTGCCAGTAATTCTAGTGTGTGTTTGCCTGTCTGTTTGGAGGGGTTATTTCAGTATACTTCATGTAATCATAATAACATGTATTGTACATAATAATCATAATAATTTCTAATACGTGTAATAGTTCTAAGATCATTACTAAACAATGCAAGGATGGCCCAAACTGGGATGGATTGGTGCCCAACAGTCAAACATACTGTTTCTCCTGTCCTGATCACTAATCTTGAGAGATGGGGCCAAGTCATTGCTTGTTCTTACAAACACCTGGAGTAAAAGCAGCCCATGTAATGAGAGAGTAATATGTATCTTTTAAAGGACAGGAAATAGTTGTTAATGAGAATATGTTTGGCATAAAGATGGCTTAAGTATGTAGCGTAGGTTGTAAGTGTTGGTGAGGAGGGATTTCAGTAATGAGAAATGTAATAGGATGGTTAGAAGATACATGTATGTATGTGTATAAACATGTATTCAATTATGTGGGACCTGTGGATGACACAAATCATACGGAGTAAGATGTGGAGATTGCAGTGGGTCTGGCTGAGCTGGAGTTAATTTTTCTCATAGTAGTCTTCATAGTGCTGTGCTTTGTATTGGTAGCTAGAAAGGTGTTGGTAAGACACCAGTGTTTCGGTGAGTCCTGAGCAGTGCTGGCACAGCATTAAGGCTGTCTGTCCAATGTTCCTCCACACGTTGACCCAGGAGTTGGTTGTTTAGGGGTTTTGTTGTTGGTTTTTTTCCCTATCTTATTTGCTCCCCTCCCAGTCCAGCAGAGGAGGAGTCTTGGTGGCCACATGGTGCCCAGCCAAGGCCAACCCATGACATTTCAGTAGTTCAGTGCATGTAATCGTAACACACATATGCAATAACTAAGAACATGTAATAATCTAAGGTCATTATTAAAATAATACATGAAACCTTTAGATATGGAGTTAATTACTGTTTCGTGGTATATCACTAGGGAACTTGTGTACATGATGGGACCTGGAAGTCAGCTGTTTATGGTCTTGCGGATCAAGACAACCTGAAGAAGCTTCGAAAAAAGATAGGATATGCCCCTGTTCCAGTAGTTGGTGCAAAGCTTAAAAGGAGGTATAAGTCTGAGATGGGAAACATGCTGTCTTCTAACAGTTCCAGTATTTGTTGTATAGATTTTGAATACTATTACATACTAAAAAGATGCATTTAGGACTTCAGTATAATAAGAACAGAGATACTTATAGAATTGAAATTCAGTTTTAGAGATTTGCTTGCAGTTACTGAAAACAGAACACAACCCAGCATTTACTGGGTCTCAAAGTTAAATTGTTCTAAGGGGAGTTTAGTGGTGTGGTTTTGAACTTCAGAAGTGATCAATAAAATGGAAGAAAGAAATGTGAGGAGAATATTATTTTGTTATCAGATTCTTCCTTTCTGTAGTGCATGGCATCTTGAGTTGAGTTATAGATGGTTTGCTTTTGGTGAAAAGAGACAATGTCATAAAAATGCTTGAGAAAGGCCAGTATTGGTAGGGCTGTTACATTGATAAGTTTCTTCAGTTTGTGTGAACATTTGAACATTTTTTTCTGACCTTGGTTTGTTTGGTTTTTTAATTTATCCTTTTACAGAGGGCTTGTGTTCTACAGTCGGGAATTCAAAGAGTACTCCATTCCATTCATGGGATCTGATGCTTCTGTTGTGAAACGGTCTCAGCGTTATTTGCACACAGAGTTGCAGGAAACACCTGTAAGTTGCTGTTATTAATACACTGTCTTTGTTACTGTTTTCAGTTAATTTCTTTTATGTAATAACTGTTCAGTTAGTAGTAGTGCAGATCTGCATAGTAGGGCCGCTGTAGGTAGGTAAACAGTAATGAACCGGAATGTGCTTTTGCTTCTGTGGAGAAGGTGGCTTGTTCTCTTTATCACCTTTGGAAGCTGCTTGACTTGATGTGGTCTGGGTTCTTCTGGGCACACTGGCCTATTTGATACTGCTTGATCCTCTGCCTGATGAGCTTGCTTATTGCTGCTAGCATAATAGTTACAAGATTATCTTTTAGGGTTCTTGAGCTGTCTGATTTCTAGGTATGTATTTGTGGGGAATAGGAGCCCTAAGTCACAGAAATATTTGTAAGTTAGGCTTCCTGATTTTCAGGAATGATAAATGCATTAAATTCTCTTCTTGCAGAGAGGCTTTTTTTTGTTGTTGTTGTTGTATCAGTAAAGCTTCTGAAAGGGTGAAACAATAAAATAAACATCTTGATTTTATTCACAGCCTTCTCTTTTATTGCAGTATGTCAGGGAAAGTTCAGGTTGGACAATAGAGAAGGCTGTTCTGTGAAAGGCGGCCTGTCACTGGAACAGGCTCCCCAGGGAAGTGGTCACAGCACCAAGCCCTTCAGGGTTCAAGGAGCATCTCTGGACAATGCTTTTAGTCATATGGTTTAGTTATGGGTAGTCCTGCAAGGAGCAAGGAGTTGGACTGGATGATCTGTATGGGTCCCTTCCAACTGGGGATGTTCTAAAGTGTAGCTGTAGTTAGGTCAGTCTAGTGTAGTAAACATTCTGATAAAGAATTTATAGGCTGCTCATTTGTATCTGGAGAGTAAAGGCAGTATGAAGTGGTGGTGGAAAAGATGCTAAGTTTTTTGTTTTCCTCATGGTTTCATGAGAGGAGACCAGCACCAACAATCTGTATAACAGCTGTGCAGAGTCACAGGCATCAGCTAAGAGATGAAGGTGAAATACCGTTCTAAAAATATATGTGGAAAGCACAAATGAGAAAGGCTTGCTACTGTTACTTCAGATTTGAAAAGTAAGGCAAGGCCTCAGTTTCTCTTAAGCTAAAGCACAAAGATCTTGGAGAAGAAGTTTTAAATCAGATACCAAAACACAGCTTTCTTTAGAGTTTTCCGCTCTTGTTTACTGTGCTCATTTCCTCACCATTCTGTAGTTACATTCAATTCTCATAACGCATTATGAAGTGAAGCATTATTTGAAGAGTTGTTTGGGACTAAGGCAGTCATTTAAGGCCGTATTTAAGCAGCTGTCTATTGTATCAAACACGTGCATCCTAAACTGAGGGTAGATTTATTTGTACAAATGAATTGATGCAAAAATTGTAATGTCAGTTCTGCCTCTGAAAATACATTTCTGCCTTAGGTGCAGTATGGTGCTTATGTGAACATAGGTGGTCTTGGTTCTGTTATGAAGCTGATGTTTGCTGGCATTTTATTTCTTCTTCTTGTGAAGTTTAGCTTTGGAAGAAAACTTCTGACAAAAGTAAGTGTTTAAAACACAAAATTAAAATGTTCGGAGGCTTATTTTTCTATCTAGTTTACTGTTGGTCATCTTTCTGTTTTGTTTTTCTCCCCTGCTTTATTATGCAGTACCCAGAATTTTTCTCTGCTGGACACTTCACAAAGAAAGGACCAACCCAGAAACAGGTAACTAGCTGTTTCCTGTCACAGTTACTGAATAAATAACGGCGTGTGTCATTGTGTGGATTGAATAAATAACTGTGTGTCATGGTAATGATGAAATAGTAATTTAGAGTCAACTGCATGGAAATAATGTCTGAATATATGCTGTGTGTATTCACACAATATCTCTTCAGATAGCTTTGAATATTTAAGTGCATTTTCTGTTACTAAACATCGAAGTATATAGAATTCGGATTAGGATGGGTCTGATGTATTTATGTGATGCATAGATTTAGATATTAGGAAGAAATTCTTTACTATGAGGAGTGAGACACTGGCTCAGGTTGCCCAGAGGAGTTGTGAGTGCTCCATCCCTGGCAGTGTTCAAGCCCAGGCTGGACGGGGCTTTGAGCAACCTGCTCTAGTGGAGGGTGGCCCTGCCCATGGCAGGAGGGTTGGAACTGGAGGAGCTCCCTTTTAACCCAAACCATTCTATGATGATTTACATGCATGGCTTACAGCACCCCATCTGTCAATGATGATGACAGAGGGAGACTGAGCAGCAAAAACAGAGGACTGAAAGCACTGAGAGAATAAATGGACTTTAGAACAGTAACAGTTCCAACACAGTGGAAGTGATTAAAAAACATAGGTGAGATTATGCCTTTTAAGCAGTGTCTCAAAATAACTACTCTCATGTCTACATGGTTCATAGAATTTGGTGTAATAGATCCTTCTGTTTTCTACTTGTGTTTGTTGGGAGTGAGTTACTCTTTTGGTGACCACACTTGTCTTGTCTACTACAGATGGATGGAACCTCTTTTACAATTACTTTTTTTGGTGAGGGTTACAGTGAAGGGCAAGATCCCCAGAGTGGCAAGCCAAATGTAAAGATCTGCACTGAAGTGAAAGGACCAGGTATGTAAGTTAGTAGAAACTAACTGCTTTTGCCTCATACTCCCTACTTTAAAGTAGGGTGGTGGTTCCACTGCTCTTTCTTTCACCCTTGAGGAGCTCTTGTAATGCGGACAAAGTTAACAGCCTTTACAGAGGAATACCTTGGATATTAGCCCTCACTGAGACCTGGTTTTTGAAACAACCAATTAATTTGTGTTCTTCTCATTCTCTTTCCTTCTGACTTTCCCATTCAAATTTTCATTTTTGCAGATTAAAGGAGTTAGAGGGAGAGTGCTTTGAGGACAGTTTCCAGTTGTTACAGCCTGGACTTAGTACTAGTTTGTTTCTAGTCCCCTGTAAGTCAACTTAGAGGTAGTGTGGTATCATTCCTAATTATAACATACTTGTGCTCAGATCATTCCCTTTAGGGGAGATGGCACCTGAAGTAAAGTTTGGAGACAGCAAGAAAAACACTAAGAAAGGAGTTACTAAAGCATAGCTTATTTAAATAACTAGTGATGTAGCCGCAGCAAAGGTCTGAATTTCAGGCAGAGGCTGGGGGAAGCTCCTTTGACAGAGGGCTCTGTAACGAAGAGCCCTCTGTCTCTGTGAGGCAATGGCTTGTGCTTGTGCCATTATAGGCCATATTTGTCCAGCTTAGATCTTGAGGATTTCACCAGCTATTTGGGAAGATGACCATGTAAGAAAAGCTGATCTTAAATGCAGAAGGCTGTTTCATTACCAGATTATTCTTCAGCAGGCTGTAGGTAAAAGCAATATTAAATTTTATATTTCAACACGTTGTACATAGTTGGTGGTTGGTTTTTGTTTTGTTTTTGTCAGAGCCTGGCTACATTGCTACACCAATTGCAATGGTTCAAGCAGCTGTGTCTCTTCTGGAAGATGCAACTTGTCTGCCTAAACAGTAAGTACTTTCCCATGCAGAGCAGCTTGATCTCCCTTAAAGCTACTGTGTGCACTTGTTTCTCTTTGAAAATACAGATCTCATAAGCCTGTGGATTTCTGTGTTACCTCACTCAAATGGCTGTGCAAGGGAGATCTTTCACCACGAGCTGCTTTAAAGCCACTTACTCTTCATCTGCCTTTTAATTTGAAAGGATGTAGTTCATAGGTTTTTAGTACTGTTTTTGCATTGTGTATTGCATCAGTATTAAGTTTGTTGGATCCAGAAATGAACCTATGAATATGACCAGCTTGCCCAGTTCTTCACAGGCTTTTCTGTGGGACAGAGTGGTGCTCTTTTTGGCAAGGAACATATATTTGACTTCTAAAAAAATTGTCACTCAATTTCATTTTACCACTAATTGTTTTTATTTCCATTAACAGGGGTGGTGTATATTCTCCAGGAGCTGCTTTCTCCAAAACAAAGCTGATTGATCGCCTTAACAAACGTGGTATTGAGTTCTCTGTTATTAGCAAGCCTGAAGTCTGAACTCAGAACATAACTGTATCAACTAACACCTTTCCTGAGTCTAGTTCCAATAAAACTCATTTGGCTGCAAAAGCCTAATCGTTCAATAGTTACACTGTGCTATTGTTTATGGCAGAAACAGAATTAAAAATGAGTGTAAAGTTATAATACTATTTGCTATAGTGAATAAACCCATAGAGGCTATGGAGTTTTAATTCACAAGCCTGTTACTGGGTGCTAGTTCTAAAAATTTGTTTGATCTGATCCCATCTTGAGTTTTAAGTTACTGTGTAATAGAACTGCTATAGCATCTGCTTCACCATTAAACACAGCCTTCTTCCTTCACCCCATTCCACCACTACTAAAAGCAGGCAGGCTCCAGCTAACAAGTGCCTTAGCAGATGAAACCACTAGTTGGTCCTCTTGCTTGTTTGGGATGATTCCTATGACTTCGTGGTGTTCTTACTTCTAATGCCTTCATGGCCATGGTGAAATAAAGGAGGAGTGGTGGTTTCTTGGAGTTCAGAGGAATAGTTTTGTCATCTTGTCCTGGGTTATAATAAAGATGAGCTGCCTCTGTGCTGTTGTCTTAAGGTGTGCTGACTTTCATCCTTACTAGCTTACCTGTAGTGAGCTGTGCTCAAAAAGGAGACGAGAGAAAGCAGAAAGAGTAGGGGATGTCAGTATGACCATGACTGCATTAAATTCCATTCCTTTGCAGGGGCACTTGGGTTTTTTTGTACCGGTAAAGCTTCTGAAAGTTACTCTGAGGTACAAAAAGCTCTACATCTTCCTAAGGTCCATGCCATTAAGCATCTTTATTATTGGGCAAATCACATGCAAACTGTTGCTCTCTAGTATGATAGCTGTACTGAAGATTATCTTACCTTATGAATAACTACATTGTATGGTGATGTTTCAGATACGTCTTCTGAGCTTTGAACCTTGACAGCACTGTCTTCAATAACTTAAAAGATGTCTGTTAATGCATTATTAAATACCAAACAGACTAACTTCAAACAGGGCTCAAAGAAGTGTTTTTTAAAAGGAGGCAGTATTATGGAGAGAGCATGGGTTTTATATAAACCAGGTGATTATAACTTTTGTACTTACACTTAAATCAATCTCCTGCAAATATGAAAAAAGATTTTTTAAAAAATTAACTATGAAGAGAAATATGGTCAAGAGAATTGAATCAGTGTGCAAAGACCTTTGCCCAAGCCTCTAAGTCATAGTGCTTGCTATCGATGGCAGGAAGGAGGAAGCCACTCCGCAGGAGTCTCCATAGAATCTGCTTTTCTTGCCTCCTGCCCTACCAGAAGTTGCTGAACTGTCACAAAACAGCAACATGCTGTCCTTCAAAGCTCAGTTTAGGAAAAAACTTCCTTTCATGCTTACATATCTATGAACAAGAAAGCTGCAAGTAGTTTGTCCTAAATTCAGTGAAGGTGGACAAGCCAAAATCCAATGTGCATGTATAAATCAGTAAGCACCCGTTACAACAAAAGCAGAAAAACCTTCACAGTACTGCTACCTGAATGACACCAGAGACTTTGTGACTGCCCTCCCCTAAGTGATACATCTACTCCCAAGGCTATAATCATCTTCACTACAGTATTGTCCCACACCCCAAAGGTATGACAACCTAAGTGAGCCTCTTACTAGAAGTGAATAGCTCTTTGTAACAGGTAAGAAATTGTCTAACAAAACTAGAGCATGACAATTTGTTAGTACATGCGTGGAAAGCTTATGCATGTACGTACTAGCACACGCCCCTGTTCAGCCCCTGATTTTGTAAGTTCCTTCAACAACTGCATAATGAGCTGAATCACGGAATCTAACTGGCAGAACAAAAGGAGTAGTAAGAAGTTGACAGCTTCCAGAGGGAGAACTCTTCAGGTTGTCTTAACTCAGTAAAGGTTTTACAGGGGGTTAAAAGGAGGATAATGAAACTAGCTTCATCATATGGACAATATATAAGAAGAAAACAACTCTTGAGAGATCACAACTGCTTTGTTCAAGGAGGCAAAGGCAAAAAGATCAGCACCAAGATGACAAGTGTTACTTCTTTTATTGTAACACTGTGATGGCTGTGAATGGGAGCACAGTTTAACCCAAACAGCTAATGGGTAAAATTTCTGCAAAAAGCCATCACTGAATTTTACACAGGCTAATATCACTTAACCTACATCACTCAGCTGTCATTCACTGAACTGGATCAGGAAACTGAAGCGTGTGCATCTTGCTTGTACATCAAACTATACAGAGCTACCGAACACTTCTTAAATTATGAGACGGTTAAGCCAGAGATTGCACCTTTAAGGATCTAAGTATACTGAAAAGTCCAATTTTAACTTGGATCTATGCAATGAAAACAAGTGGATTTCACAAACCTATGGGACATCCTGCATACTGCAACTAACTTGGAAATAAAGCCTTCCCCATTCAAGACTGCTTCAGAAAGTACTATATGTACATTAATCGCAAGCATGCTGAAAAGATTCCACAATTTGAATCCAACAGTGTTTGCGTTAGTACTTTGGGGGGTTCATTTTGAACACAGTTTACAGGCTTTTGTCTTGGTTGGCTGTTACTGGTATTTTAGAACACAAACCTTAACCACCAGTGGAGTCTCCAGCAAATTCAGCTCTGATGCTCTTAAAAACTTCTTCTGTAAGGCGGAACCACGCAAATTTGAATTCACTGGGCTGGACGCCACAAATGAAGTAGAATCTCTGTGTGGGGACTGCCAGCCACCACCCTGCTCTGCAGAACATGAAGGAACAGGACGAACCACCAAATCCAGTAATCTGTTAAGAGGCACAATTTCAAACAGGAACATAAACAAATGCATGACAAAATTGTGTTCAAGAAATCTGAGATGATACCTAACAAAAACACTGAGCGAGAAATCACTTCTTTACCATTTGTACTTAATGTCCTAAATCTGCCTCTGAGGCAAGAATAACCCAATTTTAAGTTGAACAAGTGACGTAATGCTTATGTCAGAAGGAAATTCCTCTAACTGTCAATGCTGGGACCACTTCAAATTCTCCACTTCTCAATGTGCTCCCCTCAGCTGACCTTTTCTTTAGCAGATACAAAACTCAATGAAAACAGAACACTTTGCAAAGACAGAAAGAATACACACACATATATTTACGAGTAGGACCTCTTTCTTGAAACACCCATTCTGTAGATCTACTATACCTGGGAAATTTCTGTGAGAATTTTGTAACAGTTTTCCCAACAAATGCATTGGGCCGCTCTGCAGCAGGGAGAGGAGGTGCTGGTGGTTCTGTAGCTCTAGGGCTAAAATTAAAAGGAAAATGTAACTGACTTTCATTCCCCTGAAGTGCAAACATACCAGAATTCAGGTTTATTTGAACATGCCTTCTGTAGGGTAATGAACAGACAACTACCAGCCTCTTTCTGCTCTTTGGCATTCTGCCTACTTTAAGTAAACACAGCAAAAACTGGGCTGGAAATGGTCAAAGATTACTATTTCATCACACAATTCACTCTATCAAGAGCCGTACACCAACAGCTTAAGGGCAATCAGAGTTTTTGTTTCAGCTTTTCTGAATTCTGTAAACACATTGAACATAACATAAATTTATGTATTTGCATACATTCAATTATAGCAGAAAGTCTCTCCCTCCAAGTGTTACTGATGATGGTACTGATTTCTTAAATGCTATAAGCTGTATGTACAAAATCTCAGACAAAGCTGCATTCAGGTCACCTTCCCTCCAAAACACTAACATAATTGACATGGATTTCGCTCTCTTTCCAAATACATAGCTCAACATGAAATGTTATTAAAAGGCTGCTTACCTATCATATTGTAAGAAACTGGTTTTCTGCTCATTTCCTACCCACACTTCTTCAATTTTGGACAATACGCTACTGATGAAAGTTGCTCTTGTATGCACATGTCCTGCATTAGCTTGTCTTGCTACTGTTGATAACGGCTTTGGTCTTGCAGCTGTAAAGCGAGAGGGAAGAAAGTCCATCTTTGTGGAATCAAAGTGATGGTTACTTGTCCAGTATATTTGGCCTGTAAAAATTACCTTCTCTTAAGACTAATGAAGGCAGATGGTGAGACTTGTCTCTCTCTAGAGCCAGCTTCCTTTGAACGCTAGGAAGGATCTTGCCATACTGCTCTAATATAGAGTTTCTGGCAACTGCTCTCTCTTTCAAGCGAGGATCACGATCACCCTGACAAATGAAAAGCATAAATCAAAATGTTAACTAATTAAAAGCAGTTCATTGCACACCTTTATCTGTGATATTTATTACTGAATAAACTTCCTCTATAGACATGGTATAACTTCAGGGAATAAAAACACCGCACCAATTGTACCTGTAGATTGGCATCCAGACTGCTCGCAGCTAGAAAAAGAAAGTTGTGTGAAAGGTACAAGAAATGACACACAACATATGCTTTATTCCACAGAACGGATTGTCACAACAAACTTTGAATAATCGGAACCCTATGAAATAAATGTACCTGCACAACTGATTGATAAAAACAAGGCAGGATTTTTATTGAGTACAATCAGAACCAGAGAGTAACTCCTAACAAATGTACACACACCAAACAACTCTTAAGCTTACCATGAGATTAACCTTCATTGACTGATTCAACTGCAGTGCTGGAATATAATTGGAACGCTGCAGATGGTGGACTAGAAGAAATTCATGATTCTGAGCACCAGCACCGGTCTGCAGAAACTTCTCCAGACACTCCTGTGCGAAAGAACACATTGGCAAACTCTACTGTGCTTCTGCCTCTTTCCAATTAAGATTTTTCTCTTGTCCACACTTACTTGTTCAGAGTCTGTGAAAGGCAGCTTCAGCAAGTCTTCCATCAGTCCCATCTCCTGGCAGAGCTCATACATGTGCTCTAACAGCTCTTCTGTATATAACTTAGTCATGTGTTGGTGCAGCAGACCCCAGGCCTCCACCATGCACCTGCAGTTCATTTTGTTGAGATATAAAGGAATACCAGTAATTCGTTTGGCTGAAATGCAGTGGAATACTAACAGCATAACCAAAAAATGCCCCAAATTACTGTATTCAAAGCTCAAAGGAAATGTAGGGGTTGGTGATTTGTGCCACTTGTTCTGCACCTTTCACAATACTGGAGTGTCAGAATGGAGGGACAGGTTCCTTTACCTATTGGACAACAACACAGTGAGGAAAAGCCGAACTTCACTACTGCTTGACATCAATGGCTTCATCATCTGTAAGTATCTGAGGGCTTGTCTGTGCTCTCCTTGGCTCATGAGGGCTTGAATAATCCTCCTATGTTGCCAGGGCACAGTTTTGATCGTAGCTGGATGAAAGAGCAGGGCCAGGGAATTCTGTAGACAGTAGAGATCAGGTTTACTACGATACATACAGCCACACGTGTAACAAAGACATTCAAAAGTTTCTGACAAAATCATGTAGTCACACAGAACAAAGTGAGTGCTCTAAGAGGAGTAATTCACACTTGTCTAAGTTAATCACCCATCTGTATGCAAACAGCACTCTTTATAAACATGTTACTAAATAATATATTACCCTGTCAGACTAACAGATTTTATTAACATCATAAAGGACAACTGTAAGCATCAGAAAGGACAAGAATTAGGTTGAAAAGTCACTTCTGCATTCTTATGTCTCAATCCTTGCTGCTAGAATCACAGTGCTCCTATCTAGAGTACCTAAACCATTGTTTCTGAGGAAGTGCTCAACTGGTCTGCTGAGAATGACCTAAACAATGGCTCTGAAAATTCAAATACCATCAGCAAGCATTATGAAACCTGATGTCTTCTTTGACTTAAATCATTTCCCGACAAGTAGTTAAAACCGAATTTCAAATCACAATTTACTGCTGAAGATGACGCAGCAGTATTACAAAATGACTTCTAATGTTTTAGTATCAAATGTGTATCATACTTACTTCATAATCATTATGATCTAGAAGCCAGTAAGCTTGAATAAGCTTCACAAGGCCCCAAGAGATACCAAAGGCTGTTGGGAAGGAGTCAATTGAACCTCCAGGCACAAATCACTTTCTACAAGATCAAATCTAAAGGAAAACGCTCACCTCCAGAAAACTTCCCGCACAGCACAGAGTCCAGGCTTATCTCATCTTCCCCAAGTGCCTGAATAGTCACCTCTGGAAACCGCAGCAGACTGCTTGTTGCCCGAGCCCTTAGGTCTCGCATTCTTCACTGTAAATAAAGAAAAACATGCAAAACCACACTCATGTCAACAATCAATATTTTTGACATTAACAGAATTTTCATCAGCATGCAGGGAAATATTCTTCTGTGAGTTGCCTGAAGCTCCTCTCCTTACAAAAATGGCGATCAGGACAGCTGTTGATCTCTCAGCAGAGCACAAGCAGAATCCTTTGCTTTTCTGACGCCTGTGAGATCACCAACAAATAGTGATGCGCAAAGTCTTGACAAGACAAATAACAGAAACAATACAATACACGGAGTTAAGTTCAAATCTGCTCACATGGGTTTCTGAGGGGCAACCTGAAAAAAACATCTTTTAAAAAGCTTCCCAGGAAGCGGGGTAAGCTTCCATTTGTCCTTTTCCTTGATTTTATGCTTTCTTGTTTCTTGTCATTTGTCTTCTAGTAGATTTCATGTTATCATTTATGTTTTAATCACTTTTGCATGTTCAGTTTGATCATTAAGGAACACTAAGTTCTTCACTACTTCCATTCCCCAAAATTCCTCTGGAAAATGTGCTGTTGATATTTCCACATCATAAGCAATAGACTTCAGAACAATGAGGTCATGCAGAGGTAAGCAGTGGAAGGTACCAGAGACGATCTCAAGTCTCTCTTGTATTTGCATTCAAAGAGAAAGGCCTTCCAGCCGTACAGGGTGGCTGAGGTTGGAAGGTAGCTCCAGAACTCATGTGGTATAACACCTTGTTCAAGCAGAGTCACCTAGAGCAGGCTGTTCAGGACCACATCTAAATGGCTTTTGAACACCCATCTCCAAGTATGGAGACTCCACAACCTGTCTGGGCAACTTGTGCCACTGCTTGGTCATTGTCAAGTTTTTTCTGATGTTCAGGCAGAACCTCCCACCTTCTAGTGTGTGCCCAGTGCCTCTGGTCCTGCCATTGATCACCACTGCAAAGTGCCTGGCACCATCTTCTAAACCCTCTCCTTTCAGGTATTGATATGCATTGGTGAGATCCACCCTGAGCCTTCTCTTCTGCAGGCTGAACACTGTCAGCTGTCCCAGCCTTGCCTCATAAAAGATGTGCTCCAATCCCTCCATCCACTACTGTAGCCCTTTGCTGCATTCTCTCCAGTGCCTCCCTAACTCTCGTGTATCTCCCCCTATCTCTGGGGAGCCCAGACCTGGACACAGCACTTAAGGCGCGGCCTCACCAGCTGCACCTCCTCCTCGTGCGGCCCAGGGTATTGTAAGCCTTGTTTGCTTCAGGGTCACACTTCCTACTGAGGGTGCACTGCCCCATCACCCAGATCTCTAACTAAAATGTCCAACAGACAACACACACACCCCTGCCCACAGCAGCCAGGTTAGTGAGTTAAACTGGCTTGCAGAGAGAGCTAGCAAGCATAAAAGCTGGCACAAGGAAGGACATAGAACAATGCATTGGGAGGAAGGAGAAGGAATGTCTATCTCCATTTGTGGCAGTTAAGCTGCTATGCTAGCTGATACACATGTGAAACTATACACTCTGTTGCAAGGAGAGCTAAGGACCCCTTCACTTTTAGGAAGGACACTACCCAAAACACAGTCAATTTTAACTCCCTCTTGAACAAGAAAAACAAAGCTTGTCTGGGAAAAACGGCATCCACTTTGTTGAATAAACAGCCAAGGGATGATAAAAGCATCATGGAATTTTCTAAATTCCCATTCATTACCAGTTCAATGACATTTTCACCAGGAAAGCAGGAAACAACTCACAAGCATTGGAGGAGCAGTAGGTGGAAAAGACACTTCCTGTACATCAGTAGTCAGGGCCAGTGAATTTGTGTCTTGCCGTATTTCACTCCTGCAGAAAGAGGATTTAGTGAGTAAGTCAGCAGGTGATTTAGTGAGTATCACGAGGTCATTTCTTTCCACCTTAGGCAGAAGACTTCCCCCCAGTGTGTCAGGCTAAACCCTACAATGAGTCCAAAATGTAAGTTTTAGTCTAAAAAAGCCACTCACAGTACTCTGCACTGGACTAAATCAAGTGGCACTGCTGCAAAAATACCTCCACCTCTTGTCACGTCCCATCTGTGAGAAGAGGCGAATGGCTACAATTTGCAGATCCCCTCAGTGCGGATGAAGGTGAGATAACACTCACGTTCCGTTCATAGACACCAACTTTAAAGGAACTAATATGCTGTAAACCTCAGCCCTGTCACAGTTGTACTCCACCTGAGGTATGCGGCTTTGTGAGAAGTCAAGGTAGGGCTTTTGTAGCTTAACCGCTTCAAGAGAAAAGAACGGGTGGGAGAAGGGGGGAGGAGGGGACATGTTGGGAAATCACCTGTCCTGGGTACAGTGCTGGACCTGCCAGTGCCAGTGCTCTGTCTGTGTGGACACTCTCACAGAGGCACACAGGTGCCCCTATGTACTGGCTCCAGGGCCTGGACTTCTGGAACCTTCTCTCCCCTCAGTTCCAAGAGGGGCTGAGACGCCAGGCAGCCAAGGGTGACACCAGGCCCCTCCCGTTGCCTCCCCTGTCCTGGTGCTGGCACCTTCCCTCAGGGCATTGTCCAGGCTCACACCACACTCACCTGGGCCTTGACCCTTACACCTCTGCATCTAGAGGCGTTAGATAGAGGTGATTCCTACCCCCAGTCATCCAGACCGGTGGGCCGAACGAGGCACTTGAACTACCACGCTTGGCCACACACCCCAGGCAGTGTCAGCATTCCCATCAGAATTCAATCCCTACGTTGCCCATCATTTTACCAAACACAATCAGAAAAACAATATTAGATCTAAAAGACTGACACCACCCTGCTTTCGCTCAGCAGAAGCTCCAGACCTAGAGTTATTAAAGAGCAAATGCAAGTTTAAGAGCTTAACTACCATGGAGTTAGAAGCAGACAGAATAGTCTGATATCGGAACTCATGAGAGGTTTGATATTATGTTGTGGGCCCCTCACCAGTTGGCATATTGCCAGTTTACCCAAGCTCAAAGGCCCCTGGAGGGTCTTGTCAGGGCAATCCTGACAGAGGTGTGTATGAACAGCAAACAGCGAAGATGACAAGAAAGGGAAAACATCAGGCTCAGATGACCAGAGGTTAAGGAACCTGGCCATGATGGCCGCTACTCGTAAACTTGCTTTAGGAAGTCAAAATCTACTTGCTGTCTGTAGCTGCACTTATGCTCGAATACATACATGCTTCACCAGCTATCAGTCACCCTGTGCTCCCGAGCCCAGCCAGTCTGGATAGCAGATTGTTATTCTCAGCCTTCAGTTCTTTTACAAGGTTCTCATGGGGATTTGCATTCACAAATGTTTTGTTCCTGATCATTTTTGTCCTTTTAAGCCTGAAAATACATAGAAGACAAAAACAAAGCTGTTACCCAATCCCAGCAAACCACAGTATTTTATGTCAAATTCCTCTTCTGATACAACGCAAATTCACTATCTATTCATTATGTATTTTCAGTATACTGAAAGTAATCTGTAAAGACAAGATGTAACTTGTAGGTAAAATGTATTTTAAAAGGACCCTCAAACTTACTGGGTCATACCAAAACTTCCCTTTACCCTAGACCATTACATAAGCTTACTTCATGCAGTTATTATCACATCCGTGCTGTTTCATCACAACTGCTTCTTCTCCAGCATTTCTTCCACCTACCTTTATGTGCACAATCCTTATTACTGTCTAGTCAGAACCCACCATATGTGTCAATAAATCATTTTGCTTAAGTATTGTTATTAAGCATCTAGACAGCACTGTAGAAAATTCAAGAAGGGCAAATGTTAATTTTCGATAGCTGTGTAGGTTGGTTCAAACAGTATTTATTTTCAAGGCTATTTGAAGAAAGAAAAAGCCCAAATTTCTGGTTTCTGAATGAACAGCTCTGGTCATATATATTACCTGCATAAGGGTACATGCAACATGAGAACATCTGCTGTGTTATAGTGATTAGGTCATAGGAGGGTCCTGATGCCAGCAACTGGTGGTCATGGGGTGAGTGAGTTAAGCATCAGCAACCCAAGCCAGATCACATGTGACAGAAGCCCACGTGTCTGTGGTGTCAGCAGTGGGTGTCTCAGCACCAGCAGCTGCACTGGGAACCCCAGTCACAGGGCACATGTGTTCAAGGTGCAGCAAGGGGAGGGGGCAGAGCAGCTGTACTTTCCCCTAGCCACACGTACACATCTAAATTAGTAGCAGACTCCAGGGTGGGCTCATCAGTGAGCAGGAGGAACAACCACCCCTGGAAAGACTCGGTGTCCCAGCCAGGAGCCAGAGGTGGGGGCACAGACTACAGCTGGGCTCGAGGCTGTGCTGATCTTCTGGGGCTCTGTAAACGTGGGTGTGCATGGGAACCTATGGCGTGACAGCATGCTTCTGGTGTCAAAGCTTGCATTGCAACACACTGGAGGACAGATCTGTAATATCCCTTCACTGTTTGGCAGGCACTGGCATCAAACATTAAGCTTAGCAACAAAAAATTCAACTTGGAAAAGAAGCCTGGTCTGTAACACTAAGACTATGGTTAAGAATTAAAAGTAAAAATACAGATCCAGGGCATAATTATTTTCCCTCTATCCAAGGACTGCCTACAACAGCAGTAACTCAGCTTCAAATTAACATTTTGCATTTCCATGTTGCTTTGGTGAGAAAGATAGGAAGGAATGAATGAGTTTGCACTGTGGTGTTTATCACAGGAGTGCACAGTGGATGATGTTAAAGGCAAATAGAAGCATGCTCACAAATGGCATCTTGCATCATTTCTGCTGGCACAGAGCAGAGAAGGCTGGTTATTGAAAAAAAAACAACAGTACTCTTTTGGAAGGGAAGTAACACAGCAGTAAATCACAAGCAGCCTTCAGTAATCAGGGTGATACTTAGGTAGACACAGGAACTACTGCACAGGAGTGAAGCTTTTTGCTTATAGCAGTGCTAATACACTAGCACAGAAGGACGATGGTGAGTGAGAGCATCCAGCAGGTACAAAAGCTGAACTGCAAGGATAAAGACATCTCTCCTACTCTACGGGGGATGTATGGCACTATAAAACTTCTGTATCATATAAAGGTGTGCAAAAGAAAACATTAATTTTCTTTACTGAAGCGCTGCAAAGACTCTCATGAATACCCTGTGCCAAGAGTGAAGTTAGGAAGTATAATAGTTGTTAAAAGATAGCTTGCCTTATGGTAGGTAAATGAAGATCAGTGCTTGAACAATTAGTAAAAAAGGTTTAACAGTCTTTTAAAGTACAAGCTGGAAAGATCTTGGAAATAAATAACACTTTGTGATAATCCCACCTGGCACTGCTCATTCTTCTCCCAGTTCCATCTGCTTTTGGAGAGCTCTTTGCACACAACGAGCATCAGGCCTCTGCACCCTATCTGATCATCGCATGGCTCTGCTCTGAGCTAGTCTGACTGTACACCAACAGAGCAGTGCTATAACCTTGCCAGACGTTCTCCAGCACTCCTTCACCACAACCACGAAAGACCTGTCTAAAAACTTACCAAACACATCTTCATAGGTGAGCAGTCACAAGCCCACACAAGCACTGCTGTTTGGTAGGATTGCCCCCACTAAGAGTTTAATTGGGAACCAAGATTTGCAAACACACTTGAAAGTAACATTGAGTTACAAGATGACAGAAATGCAGATAAAATCTAGATGTTTCATATCAGTAAACTGGTAAATGCCAGTCATTTGTATTACACTTGCATGAATGTTAATAACAGGAAATAAACTGACCAGTCTACAACTGTGTATTAGCTAAAATCACTTGTACTTGGTTCTTTGAATAAAAGCTTACCTGGCCTGTGTAAGTGTTGGATCCTGCCAAGATGAGTATACAGTTCTTGTCCATTAAGAAGCCACTATGAGACCCACAGGCCAGATGAAAAGTAAATGTTTTCCCGTGTCCTGGATTCCCAGGGTCATACATGCTTATGCTGTTGGTGTTCACAAAAAAATCACACACCTACTTCCCGCATCCTTCTGTCTTCACGTATTAAAACTACAATTGTAGTATCAAAACAAAAGCAGTCATTCACTAATAACTCATGTTTTAGTCTGGACTTAAGTCCAGCAGCACTGCATACCCCACTAATGACTGCTGTGGGATAAACACAGCCAAGGAATAAGTGACCTGAACAGAAATATCAGTAACCATAACTTCCATTTTTATTCTCTACCTCACATATTGGCCATCCACACAGCAGAGTGCATTGGAAAATGCGTTTTATTTTAGGAACAGCTTTACTTTAATTCAAAAGGAACCACAGTACATTTATCTGCAAGCATATCAAAGAGACTCGTTATCTTGACTGCTGAAAAAAAGCATTCCTGGAATGAAAACGTGGAAGTCTTGCACAGAAAGCAGAAGTACAAACAAAAGAGGAAACAAATGCTATCTTATTACTTGAAATTCTACTGTTTCATGTTTTCAGATTGCCCTAAGCTAATGGGCTACAAGTACGGCCTGACAACTCATGAGAAACTATGTATTGGCTTCTGCCTGTAGCTTTTTTGTCTTCCCCACCAGAAACCATCAGCTAAGCACTTCCTGATTGGTTACACGGGAACTGATGAAACTGCAGTAAAGAAGTTTGTTGCACTGACAACCCTGAGAGTAGTCTTCCATGCGAGGCAGTTTTGATGGGAGGATAAAATCAGTTATCTGCAGCCTTATTTGCATGCTGGCTATATAAATATGAAGGCAAATAAAGTAAGTCAACGTGAATCAGTTAACACTTTAAGCACTAAGTGGCTATCAAAAGTAAATCAAATTTGTTTTAATTCTCTTTCATGTTACAACCTAGAATGAATATTTTCATCAGCCTTGGCTTCCAAACATTTGAAGAAAAGGGTTTTGGGAATATTTGTGTTAACTCTCTGCAGTAACCCAGGGAACCATTTCTAATGAACATTTCTTGACAAATCCCCTTTTAACACCATCCCTTAACCTTATTAATATTCATTACCCCTTCACTAATACCTCCTACTGTGTGTTTCCTGGAAATAAAGTCTGTCATTACACCTATTTCTATTCTTTCTGGAAGGTGACAGTCTGCTGCCCCAAGGCAGACAACCTTCCAGTGGAATTTTCTCTGGAGTTAGAGCCCCAAAGGTACAGATGCACAATTTAGCTTCAGCTTTCAGCCAACCAACATTAGATCAAAGCAGATTCATCACAACACTGTGAGAAATTCACGTTTTCTTTAGGGGGAGAAACCCCATACCCCTCAAGTAATTTAATTTCCTATGGAAAAACTTCAGAATTGCTCTATTTCGTGCTTAACTGTACTGAGTAGCCTGTGGAAAACTCTCATCTTGCTCACAAGAGGATTGCTGCTCTCTGCCCTTATAGCCTTTTGCACGTATCCACAAGGATGCATCAACCCCTCTTGCTTTCCCAGACCCCTCATGCCCTTCTCTGGCACCATGAATGTTATCTTCCTCTCAGGTACAAGGGCAAACACCTGCAATTCTCTATGAAAACTCCTAGCCTGCTCAGTCACTCAACCCCAAGCCACTTTAATCACTTAAAAGGCTATTTCTTTCCCCATTCTGTTAAGAAGCACTGCCCATGCACTCAGGCATTCTCACCCTTGTCGAAATGATCTGTTCCACTCTATATGTACTTGTCACAAGCCCACACAAAAACCAGCCAAGTTAAATAAATTTTCTCCACTTCATTACAAACCTGTCTTTGAGTTGCCATCTTATCATTATTAACTGGCTACTTTTCCTTCACCTGGGCTCTAAAGAATGGTCAGTGCCTGATTTTGGTTCTGTTTCCTTCTGTCCTTTAAACTTTCTGGAATCCCATTCCTTGTAAGACATGACGCTTACAGTCTTTTTAAACTGCTCCCTGGGGAGGCTGGTCAGCACCCAAGAAAGGTGCATTAAGGAACTGGAAAAAAACCCAACAAACCAAAACCAACCCACAAAACCTCCCCAGAGGTCATAGAATTGTATTAAAATGCCTTTAAGATAAAACATGACTAGACTTCTACAAACCTTTACAGGAAGTTACTAAATTTCATGCCAATCTTCTTGTTACGACTATTGCTTTCTCTTCTTTCCCTCCAAAGCATGCCAAATGAGGATAATTCAGCTGAGCTGGTTAGAAAAGGCTAAAAATTGCTAAAAATTAATAATAAAATTAGCTAGTATTTTCTTTGGTTCTAATTGATTTTCATACTAAAAAATTGTGAGAGACATATGAAACCCCTGTGAAGCAATCTTCACAAGCCTTTCATCAGTCAATTCTGCCTGACCAGGAATTGGAGTATTTAATAAATAATCTTGTGAACTACACAAAAACATATTCAGATTTGACACCCACTTTCTATTCTAGTTTGGAAAGTTTGATCTTTTACCCTACGTTCTGAGCTATTCACTGCATTCCTGTACTATGTGAATTGAAAAAAGTATAACTGGAACTCCCCCCACCCTTGCTCTTTGACTGTATTTATACTGTAGAGTTCAAGTACAAAATACTCAGAGTAAATAATTACTGACCTGACTGAAAGGTCCCACCCTGAGGTGCCACTTTCAGAGTCACCATTTGGCTTTTTTAAACCTCAGTTATGAATAATCCCAAGAAGAAAAAACAACCAAGCACATGCAACTACTTCTCTAGAATGACCTGTTCTGAGATACAAAAACCATGGCCCCAGGAAGAGTTTCTTTTCCAAGTTTAGTCTGTTAAAAATACAATCATCCACTACGTAGAAGGGATTAGTTATCCAATAAATTATTTCTTAGAGTAACTGTAGCAGTTTTTACTAAATGAAAAGTTTAATATCAGGTTCCACCATTCTGTAGTCTTCAAAGTTGCATCCATATATAAATTAACATACATAAAAATAATCCGTTGTCTAAAAGACTGCACACCAAAATAGTACTTCCATGTCTGCTTTTAAAAGAATAGGTTTTCTGAATTTATTTTTACAAACTGAACCTTTATAGGGGCATTTACTCCATAACCCAAGATTATTTTTGAATAGTTGTTTCATTAATATGGTTTGTAACTAAGATTTCTGCACATTTTTGTACCTTTTCCAGACTATTATTTTAGCTTTATAATCAGGTTTTCAGAGCTGTGATATGCAGGCTTCAAATACTGCAAACTATGTTCACAGACAGTAATTATTTCAATGACAGCAGCATTTCTATTAGCCGTATGAAAATAATTTGGGCTGAAATTTCAAAGTATGTGAGTAATACTCCCTTAAATGTGCTATGCTACTGTAAGCATCACATCCTCTGTAGTTAATTTTTTGCTGACAACAAATTGTAAAAAATAATGAAACATCTGAGGTGTGATCTAGGTTTTATGAATTAAAGAGCAGCTTTCCCAAAGTTTTAAGACAAATACAAAAAATATTGCACAGCTTAAAATACAATTGTTTACATTCTGACTTCAATACAGTACAACTCAACCGTGAATGTAAGCAATTACCCCTCTGCATCGTGAACCCAATTCTTTGTGCGAGAAGGTCAAACAAAACTTCCAAAATTTAAACTGTTTCAAATCTTGACTTGTTAAAAGAATTCTAAGCAAACTTTTGAAAGGCTTAAAAAGCTTCTGGCCTCACTTTTGAGGGTCAGCAACTCTTGCAAACCAACAATACAACTTCTGAGCGATACAAATCACTCAACCACTATTCCCTCAAAAAGCTGTAAGACAGTAAGCATATTTGAAGTATACATTTTTATTAACATTCCTAAAATAAGCTGTATTTACATATTATATAAATGTATGAAGTCTTACTATAAAATAGAAAACTGCATTGGCTGAGGAAATCAACACTCCATATGGAGTTACTTATTGAAGACCATTTGTTTATGAAATTTTACAATAATTTATATAAATTATCTCTTCCAAATTAGATGATTTTTTTTCTTTTTTACTAATCCACACAATTTTGATGACTTTACAAACAGTGGTGTACAATATAAACTTAAAAAAGTTACAGCATCCTCCGGCGCACAACTGGCTTTGGAAAGTTAGACAGTCTTTTTTTGCTCTTTCGTACAGTCTTCTCTGCCATGTCTGTGGTTTCTTTCTGTTTGCTTTTTGTACCACCCACTGGACTTCCAAATGGAGAGATAAATTTTATTTCCACTGGTGGAGGAGACCACGAACCTTCTTTTCTTGTGGTTCTGAAAAAAGAGAGAGGTATCAAACTGATTTCTTACCAGAAACAGTATTTAGCAGAGGAAAAAACAAACAGAATGGAATTACACAAATCAACACAGAGGAATTTTTTATGGGTTTCTTCGGAGATGGCATCAAGGTAGAAAAGGTACATAAAAAAACTTCCTTTTGCTTTCATTCCTTACCAGACTGTCCCAAACATTGTCAGTCACTAGTCATACCAGCCTTCAGAACACCCCACTACAGCTTTTAAAAGTCAAACACCCTCAAACGGTTTTCCAGAAAGATCCAGAAACAAGTTTTCTTTACTCATTGTCTGACCTCTTCCTGCCTTGTATGGGAAACTAAAGACCTTATGAGTGTGGTTTTCATACAGTGGAGTAAGACAATAAGGAATCATTGCATGCTATCATTGCAAAGATCCACTTGCCCTTTTTTATCTCCTCCCTCTTCTGTTTCCATTAATAAACTAAACCATTAAGCAGAGAAAAAGGTGCCAATTAGACCAGCAAGATGGGCAGGATGGTAAAGTCAGAGCAGAATTACTCAGCCAAGTGAGGAACAAGTTGTTAGGGGCTCACAGCTGAATCACTATCACAATAAAGTAATGTATGTAAGTGTTCAAGAAGAATTTCATACTTGCTTGTTTTCTTCACTTTTGATTTTGCAGTTCTACCTCTCTTCAATTTTTGCTTTCCCTCAGACTCTATGGATTTGGTATCCTCTTCCTCTTTAGTTGGAATTTCCTATGTTAAGACAACAAAAACATTAGTCACGCACGAGTTCTTACAATTTTACAGAATATACATGAATGCTTCTTTTATGAAGAAGTCATGCCAAAGTATTTCCAAAAGCATTATAGTTTCTCTCTGCAAAAAACAAACGTTCCATCTCAATTACTGAATCTGGTCAACAAATAAAGGTCAAATTCTGAAGTTAACAGGTAACACATCAGGTAAGTTTTAAGGAAGTCTACTGTGCCTTTTGTTAAATGCAAAGCAATACTTATCAATTCTTGATTTACATAGATTCAACGTTTATTTTTGAAGCTAGTTTTCATAAAGGAAAAACCTCTGTTTACCTGATGTATTTAAATCTCTTTTTAGATAATCTTTCAAGGAAAAAGGCGATGCAATGCAAAGCATGATTTGGAAAAGCAATACAGAGCAAAAATCAAGAACATGAGACAACCAGAGTTTCTACTTACTGATTCTGTCACAAATTGGGAAATGCTAGATACATTTTTGCTCCTTGACCTCAAAAGAGGGGGTGAAAAGACAAACTGGGAAGACAAGTCTGGGTCTAAATCCTTCAGCTGCACAGGATGGTCTGCTTTCTCAGCTAAAATGACAATGCATTGTTAACATGTATGTATATTATACATAAAGGAGAGTGACGTTAAATTACAGCTGATAATCAAGAGCGCAACAACGTTCTGAATAAAAGGTCTGATCAGGCTTATAAATTCACTCGTCCACAGTAACTCATAAACAAAAAATAGGCCAGTGTAGTGATTTTGTCTGCACTTATATAATCAAAGATACCATGTAAACATCAAAGATACATGCTCAAGAGATATCAATAGCCCTTATACATTTCAAAATGAAATTCTCATTAGGTACTCTAGTAAGATGAACCCCTTGCACAGTAACTTCACTAACAAAGTTTATGCCCAAGAAAAAACATCACATAAGTAAATGGCTACACAGTTTGTTGCAAGAGGCATCTCATTTAAGTTAAAAACTGAACAGAATTTGGAAGCACATTATCTTTATTTTGCTGTTGGAGGGAAGGGAGAGCAACCACATAGTGACATATAACCTCCAGTTTTCAGAACTGATAGAAATTAAGCTCATGACAAAAATTCAGCTTAAATTTCATTTTGCTCTACTCAGAGTGGCCTCCTCGTCTACTTCCACCACAAGGAGCCATCCAGTCATGTAGAGTTCAGACAGATTTAATTAACTCTTTTCAATTTTTTTAGTCTGCATGCTTACATTCTTAACAATACTTAAAGCCATCCTCAAAACAGCAACATGCCCTGTTTTGTGTATAAACACAGTGCACTTACCTTTAAATTTCTTTGTCAGCTTTGTGAGAGGAGGAGAGAAAAGGAAAGCCTCATTTTCCTCAACTGACAGTTTCTGATGCATGGCAGTTTTGTGGGATCTGGTTCTTGTAATACGATCTGTTGAAGCTCTTGATGTTTCACTATATCCTGATGGGTCTGTGTATTCAAGCAGCAAAGGACTGCCACTGGGTCCTTGGGGGAAGGCCTCCTCCCCTGTGCTCTCCTCCTGTACTGATCGCCTCTTTCTGCCCCGTCGCCCTGTCCTAACTGGAGTCCTGGGTGTGGCTGATTCCTCATTCGGCTGTGCAGGTGTCTGCTCATGAGTATCTGTTTTTTCTGGTTTAGCCTGTGGAATTCTTCTTGCTCTCCTCCTCGGAGTATCAAGGACTTCCACTTTCCCACCTGAAGGTGTGTCTTCCTGAGTGGAGAGAGATTCTGTGTCTGCCAGGAGATTCTGTGCCCCTTTCCTAGCACTTCTTCTAGGAGTGACAGGAAGTTTAAATTCTGTTTGAGGAAGCAATGATTTAGGCAGATTAAGGTCAGAATTTTCTGACACTTCTGATGAACTTATCTTTCTTCTTCTGCCTCTTTTAGTTGGCACAGGTAAAAGGAGTTGGTCACTGGGCTGCACCTCCTGATCCTTGACAGTATTTTCAGGAAACTGTAAACTAATGCTTTTCAGTTTTCTTGCACTTCTACTGGGACTGACTGCTGTTTTTATCTTATGATCAGTGTCAGTCGGACCAGTTTCTGGATCTCCCACTGAACTTTTCCCTCCTCGAGTCCTTTTGGGAGTAGCAGAAGCAGTAATGCTACCTTTGGCAAGAGATGTTTCCTCATTTGTCTCTTCCAAGAGTGCAGATGCAGCTTCCTTTGCTCTCCTTAAACCTCTTCTTGGAGTAAGAGCTGTGGCCTGCGTACTGATGGACAAAGTTTGATCATCAGAATGGCCACTTTCTACTTTTTCTATATTAGCTTGTTTAGGCTTCCGACCCCTCCTTGGAGTAACAGGTGTCACAGGTATTTGCTCTTCTTGAGCATTTTCTTCTGTTCGAAGGCTAGAAGTCTCAGATGCTTCTTTTGTTCGCCTGGTACTTCTCCTGGGAGACAGTCCAAACGGAACTGGTTTCTCTGTGTTCTGTAGCTGCACATCCCCTGCAGATGTAATATTCAGCCTTCTCAGCTGTCCCCTGGCACGTGTTCTCGGAGTGATGACGTAACCTACTTGATGTCTGCTGGTTTCATCTCCCACTCCTTCTGGCACAGCTGTTAAGGGAGCTTTTGCCTTCCGGAATCGAGTTACCTTTTTACCTATAGTCTCATGAATAGACTGTTCCACAGCTTCAGATGTAAATTCTTTACTTCTTGTGTCTTTGATTACATCCAGTAAGTTCTCAGCAATGGCTACTTTAATGGGTTCAGGCACATATGGGAGTGACTCTGCGGTATTCTGAGACTCCTGATCACTAGTTACAGTAGACACTGAGTTTGTAATGTATTCTTGGTTTTCAGTGTTTCCTAAATAGCTCACAGGTTTTGCCTCTGTTGCTGTTCCAGATGCTTTAGAATCGTCTACTAATGTAGGGTCTTCCATCTCAGCTTCCCCTTCATCTCTTTCTAAGACTAAAGTAAAATTACTCTGGGGTATAAAAAGCTCTCCCTCAGCCGCATCACATTCATCAGCTTCATTATCAGGCAAGTCATAAGCGAACTGTTGCTCTATAGTATCACAGCTGTGTTGAAGGTTGCCTGACAGATGTAGTTCACTGTACAGTGATGTGTCAGGTGCTTCTTCTGAGGTTTGTGCCTTAACCACACTATATTCAATAACCTGAAATTAAAGAATGGCTGTTAATACATTACCGATTACCAAACAGACTAACTGCAAACTGAGCTAGATAAAACTGAGGACAGTGAAATGCTGCTACTCCTTTCTGATCACCCTCTACTGTAAAGTTATCAACATAAAAGTACTCTCCAAGTTTATGCATTTAAGGGTCAGAGAACAGAATACTCAGTGTATGCAGCCACATGCTCTACTGCTGGTATTTCTGCTCCTGACTAATGGTTCGCCACCACCCATGAACAAAACAAAGCAAGCAGTTTTACAACACAAGCTGCATACACCACTGGCAGTAATCGTCACATTGCAGTACTTTCTGGACTGACTACAAATCGACACAGTGACCATCTCTCCACCTACCCATGTTCAAGTAGAATTATGCCCCCCAAGTTTCAGTCATGATAGCTGTGACTGCAACACTCAGCCAGGATGGCCAAGTATCACATTTGACAACTCAGCACTGCATTTTAAGGAGTCACCTGGATTGCAAGAGGCAACACATATATTCTAAATAGCAATTAGTTGAGCAATTATTCTTTCCTTCTAGATCCACCTGAGATACTTAAGCTTGTATGTTGAGAACAAAAGTACTACCTGTTACATATTTCAAGTGACTCAAATGGTCAAGAGAATTGAATCAATGTGTAAACACCTCTGCCCGAGCCTCTAAGTCATAGTGCTTGCCTGCGGTGGCAGAAGCCACTCCACAGCAGTCTCCATGGAATCTGCTTTTTTTCTTGCTTCCTGCCCTGTCAAAAGTTGCTAAAGTGTCACATAATAGCAACACGCCATCCTTCAAAACTCAATTCAGGAAAGACCTGTCTGCAAAACCTTTCCTTTCATGCTTACGTATCTATGAACAAGAAAGCTTCAAGTAGTTTGTCCTAAATTCAGTGAAGGCAGTCAAGCCAACACCCAATGTGTACATCTAAATCAGTAAGCACCAGTTAAACGAAAGCAGAGAAACCTTCACTGTAACTGATACATGAATGACCCCAGAAGCTTTGTGACCACCTTGCGTCCCTACTTCCTTCTTCCCATCACAAATTTTTCATTTCTCCCCATAAGTGATTTATATATTCCCAAGTCTATAATAATCTTCTCTACAGCACTGTCCTGAATTGGAAAGCCATGACAAGTTAAATAAGTAACTACCCATTTGACTTTATCTGAAATCTAGGACATTGAAAAGCACCTTCTGTTACTTAAGACCAATCAATGTTACTAATTCCTGTGATTATAATCCTACCAGAAATGGACAGTTTCTTTCAATATGGTACTTAGAGGACATCCACAATGAATTCAGCTCACTCATCAGCCCCAGTAGAATAACAGGGGAAAACCTGAGACAGCTGGAGAATCTCCAGTTCTGACTTTCAGTCCATATGAACAACCTTTTTAAATTCACAATTCACAAAAGTTTAGATGTTAAAAGGTGTGGTAAAAAAAAAAAAATAATAAAAGATTAAGTAGTTGGAGATACCTCGACACTGAAATTAACTCATTATGGGGAACTGTTTGTATCAATAAGGAACTGTTTGCTACTACAGCTCTCAAAGTCCCAAATCTTGACAGATTCCATTCTGTGTTACAGGTACAGAAAAACATATCTGCGCTTACATAATGAAGTTTTAACTTGTATTAACCAGCTAAAGAAACAGAGATGGTTTTGTGTGCCTTCTCATTGTCAGGAAGAAAAGACTGCCCTTCATTTGCAAAGAGTTTTCTGTTTTAAAGAAAAGGGGAAAACAGTTTACTTACGTTAATTTCCTCGGTTTTAGGAAGACTTTTAGAACCAGTTACTTCTTCCTGTGGAGAAGGAACTTCAGCTTCAACTTCAGCTGCTTCTAGGTTAGGTTCTTTAGGCAAATCCACATACTTCTCCTCAAGGTGTCTCTCTGAAGAAGCACTGACCACATCCTCACTGTCAAGGACACCTACCACAGCTGGAAGAGATTTATATAACTTTAACTTAACTGTGATATAAATGACACAGGTTTAAGCAACAGGAAGTAACAGAGGGAGCATGAACAAACAACACAGTTTCCCATCCTGCCACATACATCGGGCTTCCTCCACAAACTAGAAGCCAGAACTATCCATCTGGTAAAGGAGGCAATGTCACAATTAATTAAAAAGAGGAAAGGGTAAGATCAGCTGGTAAGTCCATAGAGAAAAGGAACAACAGAAAAAATGATGGCTGGAAAGGCTAGTTATTTTGCACAGTCAGAATGCATCATCTTTTAAAATAATAACTCAAGCAGCAGATCCCATAGTATATGCACATTAGCAGTGGTGTACAACAGCAAAGTAGAGAACTGATCTCCCCTTCCAATATTTTTAATCCTACCAATTTTCTCAGTATCTTTATCAAGAACAGGAACATTCACTATGCATTTTCTGGAAGCATTTTCTTTGAGGAAGGAACCCTGGAATAGGTTGCCCAGGGAGGTTGTGACTGCTCCATCCCTGGCAGTGTTCAAGGCCAGGTTGGACGAGGCCTTGGGTAATATGGTTTAGAGCGAGGCGTCCCTGCCCATGGCAGGGGGGTTGGAATTTGATGATCTTAAGGTCCTTTCCAACCATAACTATTCTATGATTCTAAGGTGGTCTCTCTACAGTTTAATGGAAGTTAGCAGTAACATCTTAGTACTGCTTCAGTCTGAGACACCTATAATGGTATAGCAAACCACACATTTTACTTCAGGAGTTCGGCTACCTCAACTCACATCACATCTCCAACATACTGTACATACATTCACTGTCTGCTTCTGGGGATTCAGAAAGCTGTGGGTTTGTTGCAACTGGCATGACTTTTTCTTCTGATGAAGAGGAAGGCATCTTGGACTCCTGGTGGTTTGTTTCACTTCATGAAAAGAAAGAGAAAATCATAAAGTTCCAAAACAAACCTTGAAGAATTTTACATATTACTTTCTCACTGCAAAATCTTCAAGTTGCAAAAGAGAACCCCAACCCAAAAATTCTTTTACTAACAGACCTCCATTCAATTCATGACTCATTGTATGCAATGAACCAAGTATTTAATATTCTTCCCAGATATCTAACACTAAAGAATAACAACAGAGTTGTATTAAAGAATTATATATTGCCTTCTGTAGAAAGAATGCAATTGATGTATTGGAGGTTTAGAACAAATACTGGTACAAACTCTTGTTCAGTATGTTACCACACAAAATTAAGGGTTCTTTCATTGTTCATATTTCATCTTCATCACTGAGCACTTGCTAATGGAGCACACACAAGAAATAGGAATTAAGTGTATAAAATACTGCCAGAACCTCAACCCCCCAAAAGTTGCAGTAATCTCAGATGTAAATTTTAGCTATAAAATTCTCAGACAAAAGCAGGGCTTCTATTCACAGCATCTACTTAGTAACCCTCAAACTGTAAAAAGGTTTATCTAGCCTGTTGAATGAAGTCTTTATCACCATACTTTGGGGTCTGCAATCATTTGAGAAAAAAAGGCTCAAACTGACAGCTGGTCACTCTAACTTACATTCATGCCAAATTATTTCTGTTCACAGACAGGAACAGAAAAGCTGTTATCTGTAAGAACACAGGAAAGAACCAACAGCAGCTGAAAATCATAGTTTTCAAAGCTAGGGAAGCCAGCAGTTACGTGTTGTGCAAACCCAAAAAGGTATCTATTTTATGAACTTACCCTTCACTTGCAGTCCCAAAAGCAGCAGCCTCAGCAGATGTAAACACCAATTTACCATTGTCAGGAAGGGTAAGACATTCAGCATTTGATTCTTCCACAAATCCTACAAAACCGGGCAGTTGGATTACTTCCCCATTGCACTTAACATAATTGTTGTTAAAAGTACAAATGATTGTAAAGTGAGCCTTTATGTGTTTAACATAGGAGAGTGGTTTACCAAAATAATGCTACCCATACTTCAACTGTACAGAAGATTGGAATTCTTTCCAGTAAAACAAGAAACATGATGCATAATGGCAGTGTTCAAGGCCAGGCTGGACAAAGCCTTGGGTGGCATGCTTTAGTGTGAGCTGTCCCTGCCCATGGCAGGGGGGTTGGAGCTAGATGATCTTACGGTCCTTTCCAACCCTAACTGTTCTATGATTTTCTAATTTCAGTTCAGAAAAAAAAATGACTTGATACTCTGTTTACAAACAGAACTTGGTACGTTAGTGACCTAATACATACAAGCTTCAGAAAACATCCTTCCTTCTTAAAACTGGGCAGGAATTTTTCCTATTTCTCTTTGGGTAATTTACCCCATTCCAGCAATGCTTCTTTCCTTTCCTGACTCCGTTTCTCCTCTTCTACAAGAATGCATCTAAGGCCTTTTCTTGTTCTTTTTTTCTGATGATTGACTGGTGTCATCAAAACCCAGCCTCCTTCTAGCCTGTTCTTATTTCAGCAGGGTCAATTTTAGAAACATCCGCCTTTTCTTCTTTGTTTCTACTGTCTGCTTCTTCCAGACCCAGCAACTACCTTTGCAGACAAACTGTTTCAAGAACTCAGACACACAACTCTTAACACTTGACGACGTATCTCAGAAACAACAAACTCTCTTTTGTAAGCAGTTGAATGGACTCAGCTCTGTCACTGACTGTAGCTGTGTTCCTACATCTCCCTCTTCCTGCACTACTTGCCTTCCCAGCTCTTCATCACTCTTCAAAAGCTAGTGAGCCACAACTCTTCTAATCTGCCAGCAGAACTATTCATATGAACACATCCTCAGCAACCAAACTGCCTTGAATGTGTTCAACTGAGCTGAATTTCCAGACCCAAGTGAAATAGGTTTGGAAAAAGCTGCATAAGCTTTTGAGCTAGCAAAATGAGCAAGCATAGCTGGATTAGGCAGCAGACACAGAAAACAGACTTACTTCTAGAAGAAAACTAACTGAGCACTAACAAGGTGGTTTATAAAAGTAAAAAGAAAACTATCTAGTCAAAGGACACCATACACTCAACTTGCTGACAAAACCCTGCAGCCGATGGAAGTATCCCTAAAACATAACCAAAAGCTTAAGTTTTCAGCTTGCTTCCCTCTCAAAACTCTCCACAAATCACTGCTGCCTCTCAGCTACAACTACGCTTCATAATATCCAGGACAGCTGGAAAAAAAAAAAAAAGACTCTTAACAGTGGCAATTTTAAATCCCAGGACAAGGAAGTGCCTAGGATACCTGTGAGCACTCACTGTTAACTGCTGCATTCATGAGAAACTTAGTCTTTTGAAGACATTCAAATTAATTCAGAAACTTAGGTTACCACATTATGAAACGCACCAGCTTCTTCCCTTAGCTCTGATGAGCCTGGTTCTTCCATCTGGAAAGGTTTATCTTCAACCATTTCACTGTCTTCTTCCTTCTCTGATTCATGAAAATCAGCAGTCTCTTCAACGGAAGAATTAGCTGGCTTAGCAGCTATAAAGATTACATCATCTTCAAAATCGCCAGGTGATTTTGCATCCTGATACTCCAGAGTCGTTTGGTCTGACCTGGCAGAAATGTTACTATTTTCTTTGCTGACATCCATAGTCTCCAAACCATCTCCAGGTATGCTTTCTGAAGACTCTTCCATTCCAGCACCATCTTTCTCAGGATTGCTCAGAGCAAAGAGAGTTGTTTTAACTCTACTTTCAGACCAAGCATCCTCCACCACTCCACGATGATGTTCAGATGAAGCTTCAGACAGCATTTTATCTTCTACAGTTAACTTAAAAATAAATAATAATAAATCTATAAAAAACATGCATATTATTTTGTCAAAGCAATAAAAAAAAAACCACCACCCAAGCATATACGAACACTTGTAAGTTTCAAAAGTGGCACCTTAAGCAAGGAGCTAAAAAAATTAATTTCATTCTAACACTAATTTAGCTTTTAAAGCACAATGTATAAAATAATCACACTTTTGACTGCCTTCCACAACCTTGGAGAATTAAGATGAAGTGGGTCTTTTAAGTACTTCCTTCCCCTGTCATATCAAGCCTGTTCACTGGGTTCACTATTACGTTTTCAGGAAGAGGAACCTTTGTACAGTAAAATCGTAACTCGTAATTTCTCTTTTTTGTCTCCTCACCTTTTCAGCTTGCATGCATCACTACAACATTTTAGTAATCCCTATGCTGATAGCATGTTAGAAATAAACTAACCTGGTCACTCTGCATTATCAGTAAGAACTTCATATATAAGAAAGCCCCTTATTACAACTGAGTAACAGGCAGAAAAAAGTATAAAAGAACTAGACGATGACAATTACTTATTATAGGTATGGAAAGCTCATACTAGTAACATTCCCCTGTTCAGCCCCAATTTTGGTAAGTTCCTTCACTAACTGCATGATGAGCTGGATCAGTGAATCCAACTGGCAGAACAAAAGGAGGAGTAAGAATTTGACAGCTTTCAGAAGGACAACACTACAAATGCTGTCCATGGTGCAAGGTGAGAGGCAAATCTGAGCATTTTAAGGCTAGGTAACAGCCAACAGTACAGCTTTCTTCATCAAGAGTCTATTCTTATCACAGTTGAAGTAAACTCAGCCTGACAAAAAGTGAGACTGAAAGTAAATGCAGCTCATGAGTTCTGCTGCTTTCCAAGATGTTTAATTCCCGAAACTTGACAAACACAAACAACTGGCTCAGTCTGTTCCTCACCTTCCTGCTGTACCACCACCTGAAAAGGTACAGCAGGGAACTAGAAAAAATACAGCTCCTAACAGGTCTTGCATAGAGATCACGAAGGTCACTGACATTTACTATCAGTGTGTTCCTGCAGGCATGTGATGTTACAGATGGTCTAACATAACCTTTTCTGACCAAATTCAAGTCTGCTGCTCTCATCTACAATTTCAATTGTCGATCTAAGGAGTTTTGGCAAGCTTCAAGAACAGCTAAAGCAAATCTAACTACAGCCCAGCTTACCCCAACAGTCCATTTTGCTCTCAAGCCCTCTTCCCTGAAGGATATTCTAGGTTCCTTAGCTCGCAGAGGAGGAGTAACTGATCGTCCTGGAGACGCAGAAGGAGTTGCTAAGGGTGTGGTGCGAAGGCTGGATCTGAGGATAGATTGAGGAGTAAACCCAGGAAAACCAGAAGCAGACATGGCCAAATCTTTAGCTCTCTATGAAAAGAAACAGAAACATTTATACTCAGTTCAACTTCAAAACAGAGGACCGCACTTGCCGAATCAATTTTATTTAAACTACTGTTCACATTTAAAATTACAACCTGAGATTGTAGCAGCAGAGAACACAAAGTTTTACTCCTGCACTGCCCTTTTTCCAAAGGTACAAAACCCTTGCTGATAAAAACACAGGCTTTTTATGATTTATTTGGCTTTCTACTTTTCTTTAATTTTATTTTAACTTTTAAATACCAGCATAAAATGTTATTTTTCGAATTCCTGAAGAACAGGGATATGGCATTTTGTTGTCTGGCACCTTCTCTCCCACCCCAGTGATTTTTGCAATTTCTACAATGCTCTTCGCAAAGCATACAATAACTTCAAACTTCAGCCCACATACAGTGACTGAACACACTGCCATGTGCAATGACAATCAGCAAAGCAACAGCTGATTTTTGACACTTATTAATCAATCTGTGCACCAGACTAAATTAAATGACACAGCTGTAAAAACCCCTCCACCTCTTCATTTAGAAGCATTCAGGTCTTCTTAGCTCCGTAAAGGTTTTACAGAGGGTTAAAAGGAGGATAATGCAACTGGCTTCATCATATGGACAATATATAAGGAGAAGAAAATAGAACTCCGAGAGATCACAACTGCTTTGTTCAGGCAGGCAAAGGCAAAAAGATCAGCACCAAGATGACAGGATAAATGTTACTTCTTTGCACTATGATGATGGCTGTGAACGGGAACACTCTTTAACTCAAAGAGCTAATGGGTAAAATTACTGCAAAAAACCATCACTGAATCACAGATCCACCACAGACTATCATCACTTAACCTACATCACTCAGCTGTCATTCACTGAACTGGATCAGGAAACTGAAGCGTGTGCATATTGCTTGTACATCAAACTATAGAGAGCTATCAAGCACTAAAATGATGAGATGGTTAAGACAGAAATTGCACCTTTAAGGATCTAAGTATACTGAAAAGTCCAATTTTAACTTGGATCCATGCAATGAAAGCAAGTGGATTTCACAAAACTCCTCCATACTGCAACTAACTCAGAACTAAAGCTTTCCCCATTCAAGACTGTTCCCAGCATACTGCTTCTGAAAGTACTATACGTACGTTAACCACAAGCATGCTGAAATGATTCCATGATTTGAATCCAACAGTGTTTGCGTTAGTACTTTGGGGGGTTCATTTTGAACACAGTTTACAGGCTTTTGTCTTGGTTGGCTGTTACTGGTATTTTAGAACACAAACCTTAACCACCAGTGGAGTCTCTAGCAAATTCAGCTCTGATGCTCTTAAAAACTTCTTCTGTAAGGCGGAACCACGCAAATTTGAATTCACTGGGCTGGACGCCACGAATGAAGTAGAATCTCTGTGTGGGGACTGCCAGCCACCACCCTGCTCTGCAGAACACGAAGGAACAGGACGAACCACCAAATCCAGCAATCTGTTAAGAGGCACAATTTCAAACAGGAACATAAACAAATGCATGACAAAATTGTGTTCAAGAAATCTGAGATGATACCTAACAAAAACACTGAGCGAGAAATCACTTCTTTACCATTTGTACTTAATGTCCTAAATCTCTGCCTCTGAGGCAAGAATAACCCAATTTTAAGTTGAACAAGTGACGTAATGCTTATGTCAGAAGGAAATTCCTCCAACTGTCAATGCTGGGACCACTTCAAATTCTCCACTTCTCAATGTGCTCCCCTCAGCTGACCTTTTCTTTAGCAGATACAAAACTCAATGAAAACAGAACACTTTGCAAAGACAGAAAGAATACACACACATACATACGCACACGTACATACACATACACACACACACACACACACACACACATATATATATATTTACGAATAGGAACCCCTTCTAATCTACTATACCTGGAACGTTTCTGTGAGAATTTTGTAACTGGTGTCCCAACAAATGCATCGGGCAACTCTGCAGCAGGGAGAGGAAGTGCTGGTGGTTCTGTAGCTCTAGGGCTAGAATTGAAAGGAAAACGCAACTGATGATGGTACTGATTTCTTAAATGCTATAAACTGTATGTGCAAAAAACCAAGACAAAGCTGCCTTCAGGTCACCTTCCCTCCAAAACACTAACATAATTGACATGGATTTCTCTCTCTCTCCAAATACATAGCTCAAGATGAAATGTCATTAAAAGGCTGCTTACCTATCATATTGTAAGAAACTGGTTTTCTGCTCATTTCCTACCCACACTTCTCCGATTTTGGACAATACGTTACTGATGAAAGTTGCTCTTGTATGCACATGTGCTGCATTAGCTTGTCTTGCTACTGTTGATAACGGCTTTGGTCTTGCAACTGTAAAGAAAGAGGGAAAGATCACCCTTGTGGAATCAAAGTGATGATTCCTTGTCCAGTATATTTGCCCTGCAAAAATTACCTTCTCTTAAGACTGATGAAGGCAGATGGTAAGGCTTGGCTCTCTCTAGAGCCAGCTTCCTTTGAACTCTAGGAAGGATCTTGCCATACTGCTCTAATATAGAGTTTCTGGCAACTGCTCTCTCTCTCAAACGAGGATCACGATCACCCTGACGAATGAAAAGCATAAAGCAGAACGTTAACTAATTACAAGTTCACTGCACTGTACCACACACACACCCATCCCTGAATAAACTTTCTCTACAGATAGGGTAAAATACATTCACTGCACAGAAGAGCATCAAATTCTTGCCCAGCAGCACACACCTATTTCATCTGGTGTTTGCTGCAAAGAGGAAGGAAGAGTAGAGCACAAGAGAGATGACAATTCTAAGTTAAAACAATTCTGGCACTCCACAGAACCTTTTTCAGATACACTTGTTATAACCTGCAATTTTCAAACAGCTTACAAAACAGCAGGCTTTCCCTACAATGCAACACATTCTAGCTGGACGAAAAACTTCAGTTGGAGAACCTAAAGCTTCCAAGACTACTTATAAATGGGATTCACTGGAAAATTTAATTCCAGAGAACAGAGAACGTACCACGGATTCATAACAGAAGTTCACAAAATTGAAACCGGCTGTTTTGACAGACAAAAGTTAGATGAGAATTTCTGCCAAGAAAGTGGTAAAATGAGAGGTGTGGAATGTGAAAACAAAAAAACAACCCCACACTGATTTTACCTGTGGACTGTCACCCAGACTGGGCTCAGCTAGAAAAATGAAGTTGCGTGCAAGATGCAAGAGATGACATATACTGCACAGAAATGTGATGACATACAACATACCCTTTATTCCACAGAAAAGAGTGACACAACAATCTTGCAATTATCTAAACCATACAAAACATACACACCTAAGCAACTGAGTGATACAGCTGACTGACAGAAAAGATAGAGATGTTTAGCCAACAGATGCAAACAAACTAATTTAAGCAAAGGCAACAATGGTGTGCATTTTTAACACAGATATTCACAGAGCACCTTTGGAGAAATATTCTGTTCAAATATCATGTTCAGATGTAGCTTAAGGTGTAGAAACTTATTCCTAATATTTCAAAAAATGGTTTACAAAACAAAGCAGGATTTTTACTACGTAAAAAAAACCCAACCAGTAACTCCTAACAGATACTTGCACATCTAACACAAATATTACACTTACCATAAGATTAACCTTCATTGACTGATTCAACTGCAGTGCTGGAATATAATTGGAACGCTGCAGATGGTGGACTAGAAGAAATTCCTGATTCTGAGCACCAGCACCGGTCTGCAGAAACTTCTCCAGACACTCCTGTGTGAAAGAACACATTGGAAAACTCTACTGTGCTTCTGCCTCTTTCCAATTAAGATTTTTCTCTTGTCCACACTTACTTGTTCAGAGTCTGTGAAAGGCAGCTTCAGCAAGTCTTCCATCAGTCCCATCTCCTGGCAGAGCTCATACATGTGCTTTAACAGCTCTTCCGTATTTAACTTAGTCATGTGTTGGTGCAGCAGACCCCAGGCCTCCACCATGCACCTGCAGTTCATTTTGTTGAGATATAAAGGAATACCAGTAATTCATTTGGCTGAAATGCAGTGGAATACTAACAGCATAACCAAAAAATGCCCCAAACTACTGTATTCAAAGCTCAAAGGAAATGTAGGGGTTGGTGATTTGTGCCACTTGTTCTGCACCTTTCACAATACTGGAGTGTCAGAATGGAGGGACAGGTTCCTTTACCTATTGGACAACAACACGGTGAGGAAAAGCCGAACTTCACTACTGCTTGACATCAATGGCTTCATCATCTGTAAGTATCTGAGGGCTCGTCTGTGCTCTCCTTGGCTCATGAGGGCTTGAATAATCCTCCTATGTTGCCAGGGCACAGTTTTGATCGTAGCTGGATGAAAGAGCAGGGCCAGGGAATTCTGTAGACGGTAGAGATCAGGTTTACTACGATACATACAGCCACACATGTTGCAAAGACATTCAAAAGTTTCTGACAAAATCATGTAGTCACACAGAACAAAGCGAGTGCTGTAAGAGGAGTAATTCACACTTGTCTAGGTTAATCACCCATCTGTATGCAAACAGCACTCCTTATAAACATGTTACTAAATAATATATTACCCTGTCATACTAACAGATTTTATTAACATCATAAAGGACAACTGTAAGCATCAGAAAGGACAAGAATTAGGTTGAAAAGTCACTTCTGTATCCTTATGTCTCAAACCTTGCTGCTAGAAATCACAGTGCTCCTATCTAGAGTACCTAAACCATTGTTTCTGAGGAAGTGCTCAACTGGTCTGCTGAGAATGACCTAAACAATGGCTCTGAAAATTCAAATACCATCAGCAAGCATTATGAAGCCTGATGTCTTCTTTGTGTCAATTCATTTCCCAACAAGTAGTTAGAACTGAATTTCAAATCACAATTTACTGCTGAAGATGACGCAGCAGTATTACAAAATGACTTCTAATGTTTTAGTATCAAATGTGTATCATACTTACTTCATAATCATTATGATCTAAAAGCCAGTAAGCTTGAATAAGCTTCACAAGGCCCCAAGAGATACCAAAGGCTGTTGGGAAGGAGTCAATTGAAGTCTCCGTTTTATTTGGAAAGGAATGCATGATGTCTAGCAGCAGGTAAATTGTCTGACATCAAGTATCTAATTAAGGCAAATGAATTTGCTAGACCCAACACACTGCATTTAGGGAAAAAACCCTTAACAAACAAACAAACAAAAATAAAAATGAAGAACTCGGAAGTGGTGGGAAGCAGAAAATACAAATGTTTTCGCCTTGGCAGTTTAAGCCATTATCACCTGAAGATACTCTGGTTGTAATCACAAGATTACATTCTAAATGAACAGCCGAAAAACAACACCCTTGGATTTCTGCAAGGTATTCCAAAAGAATCATTTCAGATATTTTAAAAACTTCACTTGTCAGCTCAGCCTGGAAAAAGGATGGTTTGGGCAAAATTCAGGTACTGCTAAACCACTGGGAGGGATACTTTTGCTCTGAAGCAGCACAGTTTTGTGCACCCTTCCAGTAAGGAGCCATCTGTCAGAGATAAAGGTGCTTCAGCAAATCAAAAACTGGGCTCCATTTCGAGAAAAACTAAGGGAGGGTTTTGTCTTTAACATTTCTTAGTAAGCCTGCTTTCCCGCAGCAGAAAAAGATACAAATGTGCATATACTGAAGGTGCAATGAGAATTACTAGAAAGGATACAATTGCATGTTTGTAGTTCTCTTCAATGCTTTCTAGCAAATACAGATCCAGCAGGGCCTGAAAGGGAAAGTTACAAGTTGTTTAAAAGCTCCCCTCTTTCGGGAATCACGGGCTTTTCGATGGGGGTTTGTTACTGCTGCTCTTTTCGGTGAACATAAGCACCTACGTGTAAACTAGCAGGTGGGTATTTCCCAGTTCCTCCTTCATCTCTCCGCCACAGCTTCTCGACCTGGTCTCCTAGCTGGGAAACCATTCCATCAATCAGCAAGCAGTCAGAATCCCATTTTCCTCTGCAACGAAAGGTAGCAAGGATTTGGATCTAGGCTCCAGCCACTAGGTGTAAGAATTTCCTTCAGTTAACACAAAGCAAAAGCTCCCATAAGTCAAGAAAGTAACAAACATACAGAGGCCTGAATATGGCTTGAAGGGCACATGAAAGATATTTCAAACTCAGGTGAAAAACATTCCTTAGATCATACTGAGTTATTAAAGGAGTACAAAGCAGTAACCCTAAAAGCGCTCTTATTAAGGGAAAAGTCGTGATGACCTTTTAGTTTTCAAGTTTTCTTCTTTCTCACGTTACTTGTATTACCCAAGGAAAACAAAGTTTCTAAAATGCCAGAAATAACCACACTCATCCTGTCTAACAGAGGAAACATACCAGCACTAAAGTACCGGGACCATTCCTTATGCCAAATCCAATGCCTTAAATGGAGAGTTCTGACACACAGGTGGGAGAAAACATAAAGGAAGTTTCAGATCTAGTTCTCAGCATCTCGCTTTGCTTACTGAAATTAAAGTGACTGTCACAAAGCTGAGCAAACACGCAATTTTAGCAGCATCTTAACAGCATCTGTTATGTTTCTCTACACACATCACTGCAGTTACGGATGGCTGAACGTTCTTCAAAAGTCCATCCCAGTCTTCTGCTGACTGCGACTTACCCTGTCATTTCCTGAGGAGAAAAAGCAGCAAGAGCACACCACAGCTTGTATGCTTGTAAGAAACACACAAGACTGTCTGTAAGTTACCTGACAAGTAAGCCAAGTGAGATGAACTTCCAATACCTAACACCCTGCAGCTTCCACCTTAACGCATCTTGCAGCATCTTGCTCACTACACCATAGACTCAGCTTCTTTGGGTCTTTAGTCACTTTTCAGTACAGTTTCCAAAGAAGAATCTCCTATCACCTAATCCAAAGGATATCACCTATGGCCTAGTAAGCCAGTCCACAGACGAGAGTTTACATGAGGAAGTGAATTTTATCCAACAGCCAGCAGAGTGCTAGGTGTGCCAGCTACAGGTAATGGAGACTATCTCACTAAATTACACAAATGCCCTTGCGAGTAGGAGGCTTAGGCCAGAACAATTATTACCTTCTATTACTAGTCAACAAGAGAAAACATCTTATTTATTTAAAACCAAAACCAGAACCGCGCTTATATTCTGTGTCCAACTGCTCTGCAAAAGCTGCACTTTGTGAACCGGAGGTGACTGATCCTATCCTAAACATGTGGCCCTTTCAGCAGTAACAAGTTGTACAGATTAGCCGATGCACTAAGTACGCTACAAGAACGGACAAAACCAACAAATGGTACTGAGCAGACCTAAACATAAACATTTAACACAAGTAACCTCTGTGACCAACAGAATACAGTCACTTGTGTCCAGAGCATTGCTGGCCAATGCACTGAGCTTAGCAAATAATGCTGTTGCTACAAAGAGCCATTCACTTCCACTTCTGACTTTGCAGTGGAACTGTACTAGAGATTTCCCATAAGCCTTACCCTGATAAACGTTCAAGTTTCTGTCGATGGCCAGTATAGTATCTCTGAATCAGAGGATAGTTGTAGAAAGGTCTAGACAAATGCATATCATCATCTACAGGCAATAAAGAAAAAGCAGTTTAAAGAAATAGTATATTTTTAAACTAACATTTTTGACTTAAAAGACAGAATGATACAAGCTAATAATCAAGAAGCACAGGGAAGCTTCCAACTCTGAAAGAAGCCCATTCTGCTTCTATCTTTACTAAGAGATATAAGGCACAAGACTCGGTTCCTTTTCTCAAATGCATTTCAAGCTTACAGTGAAGGTGGAATTCAGAACATTAAGTATAAGCTCTAGTTCAGTATATGAAAAAAAACCAAAACCAAACATTTTTTTTAAGTGATGCTTTTACAGTAAAAAATGCATTCCAGAATTTGCTGTTCAATAGTAATTGGATTAAAACCCCAGGCATTTTAAGCTGCGGACACAAGCAGCTCCTTGAAGTCAGAGGCTTACTGCTCTCTACATAGAAACATCCAGGAGAAAAACTGCTTGCATCATTCTACACTACGGATTTGAAAACCCAGTAAAACCTCCGTTTACCCACAAAACATCAGCACACACTGACCCTGAACCAACACAATTTGGGATTAGTGAAACATTTACACTAGCATGACTAAGACGGTGCTGACAGAATTACTCAGTGCACACTCTCCTTGTTACACGCATTACCGCACTTGATACTTACCTAAACCCTCTGGGAGGAGACTGGATCGACAAAACCAGATGACCACTTGTGCATACAAAGAAAGGAGGTTGGTTACCACCTGCTTATTTCTCAAGTCTGCATAACCTGAAAAAAAGGCATGACATGATTTTTGCTGTGGAATTCCTTTCATTCTGATAAACTGCCTTCATCAGACCAATAGGAAGCATAAAAATGTCTTGGCATTTTTACTCTGTTTCACATTTGTATTTGAAGCAAACCCCACAACCACCACCAAAGCAAAAAGCAACAACTATGAAACAACATATTTACTAAAGATAAAATAAAAAATAACATTAATAAAAAGCCTGAACTATTAAGTACATTCATGAATGAGACACCTGTTTGTCATGTAGCAGAAATTTTTACTCATTTATGCTTCCATCATGGATTTCAGTGATCTGCATGCAATTATCAACTGGTAACTAAGAATTAAGGAGAAGATTTTCAGCATTACCATGTTCAACTGCTGCAAATTCAAGCCTGCTGCTTAGAAAGCTTCTTGCGGAATGCAGCATCCGACATTCCTTGTCTGAAGTCCAACAACAAATTATTTCCCTTGCATTAATGTATATTAAGAGGTAGTCCACTCTTCTCAGATTTGAGGCTCTCCTGCCAGCTGACTTGGACAGTCAGTCTTCCAATCATCAGAAGCAATCAAAGCTCATGTTTCCACAATTACAACCCAAGCCTAATTTCAAGTAGCAGTAAAACATACCAAAAGATTTTGTAAGGCTCTTACAAACCTTTTTCTGTAAGCTCCTGTGCTTCTCTTAGAAAACAGTTTAAGATTGTGCTAAGGTTGCTCAGAAGCAACTGGCAGTGCTGAAGAGACTGTAATGTCTGTGGGTCAATGAAGTTGCAAGAGCCATCAAACAGCGGAACACCTTTTCAAGAAGAAGAAATGTCAAACCATTACATTGACTGAAGAAGCTCAAGGAGAAACAATGACTTTCTGTGTGCACAATGACTACACTGGTACTCACCAATTTGGTCAAATTCGTGTTTTGCACAGATCACTTTGTTCCACGTCCACTCAAGAACAAACCGTAAATTAGCAGCAGAATTTGGCTGCTCTGAAAACAAACCAGAAATCAATCCACAATCTCAGGCCAAAAAAAAAAAAAAGCTAACCATCATAAAGGCAATGTGGGAAGTATTACCTTCAGATGTCCAGTGTTTAATGCATCCAGTCAGAAGCTCTAAAGAACCTGTGTGGACAGCAGCTGACAATACCGCTTGTAACTGCTCCTCCTAAACATAACAGACAACATAAAATGAAAATCTCATACGCTTTCAGTACCTGAACCATCAAGAGCATTTCCACCCCTACACCCATTCAGACATCACAAAGTCTATTACACATGTGTTAATAATGCCACGTTCTTTTGCATAATTCCAGCCACAAGCAGGACTGCTTCTTGACCTGAGGAACACATCGCAGTTTTCCTGACAACTCAATTTATGCTAATTCTAATCTTTTTGCATGCCTCTGCATTGCAGTCTTAATACACTGAAATGCAATTAACTCTTCTCAGTAACAGCTTTTGCTAATACCCTTTACACGTATTGCGCAGTAAGTTTGTCATCAGGAAAGCATGAGGGGACAGAACAAATACATCCAGGAAATGTTTGTGCGGAAACAGGCAGAGGTCAAGCAGCCTTCCATACTATGAAGACATGAAGTGGTTCTGGCACCTAAAACATTAAGTTATAACTTTCTAAAATGACATAAGTGAAACATTTAAATTTTAATTATGTTTAAGTTTTAGGCAGTTGAAACACAGTATAATCATGTAGTTGTGATCCTCGAGTAGGAATCCATCCCAACGATGTCTATGCACAGGTATGCATACACTTGCAAGATCAAGCAGCAGCTTTTTTCAGCTGCTGTTTTGATACTCCTTCACAGTGAAATGATCCTTCATATAAATTTACTTTTTGTTAACTTGGAGTTTTTTAAATACATTCAAAGTTATTCTAAGAGAAAGATTCTCCAGTTTGCACGACCAACTTTGGCTTCATACTTCCTTCTGCATTTATGTCGCACAGAATTAACAGACAGGTCCCTAAAGACAAGTGTATGTGGGCTGTTCTCAGTCAAACTCAAGTCATCTGGGTATGATAATACCAGTACTAAGTTAATAGCAGTTCATAACCAAGAATACTAGTTGGCTAACTAAGGCAACACCCGCATTTCAATGCAGCTTGCACATAACACAAAAATCAGATTATAATGTCTTGCAGCTCCTACAGCCCTACCAGACAAAACGGATGTATTTCCCCCGTTGATTCCCTCATATGCACTCACCTGACTCAAACTGGAGGGCTGGACATCCGCTAGTCTTGGAGACAGCAGGCCAGCTGCAAGACACCTATTGTAGCTATCGTGAATGGCTTCACTTACTGAAGGGCCAGATTTCTTCAAGAAATTCAAGGTCTGAAAAGCCAGGTTAAGACAGCATTATTATTCAATCACTAAGGGACTGGATGACTGCTAGGAGAAGTAATGCAAATGTTCCCTGCAGCTGCCAGAAAGCCTGCGCCAGTCACATGCTTTAGGTTGCCAGTCTGAATAAGCAAGCATTCCTCTGTAGTCTTAAAAGACAGCAGCAAAGCAGGAGTTCCAGTTTATACAAAGAAATCCTGTAATACACAACATCAGCCCTTGCAATGCCGAATTATCTCCTAGCTTCCCTGTCAGGACACAGGCCTTCCCTTTTCCCCAAATACTGACACAGTGTTCATTGCTAGCTAAAACTAGCAAACAATTTGAAATCACACTCTAGAAAAAACTTCCTTAGGTTGGAAATATTTAGTGAGTTCAAACTTATTTCATTTTCAGAAACTTATTTCAGAACTTTAGTTCCATTGTTGTTCACAATCTGTACAGTGTCTCAGAAGCTATAATTTGGCCAAGTCAGCGAGACAAAACATTGGTTTCTTCTTAAGGAGTTAAATCATTTTTCATTTTCTCCATTCTATCCTCCTTTTTCAAGCTACTCAGGCATCAAACCCCAATCTCAAGATTGGCACTTTGGCAGATGGGTAATAAAAAGGTAACCATGTGCCCTGACTTCCACAGCATTTTTCATTCTTGCTTCTCAAGCAATGCTGTGCTCCTTTCCAGACATTCAATCGCTGCTCGTGCCTCAACAGGTGGCAACTGTAGTTTTACAGTCCCAAGAGGTGACCAAAAACATTGCCATGGCACGATACACTTGCAATGATCCATGTGGATGTGCAGGATGAACATCAAGTGGTCTCTGGCACTGAAAGCAGTGCACTGGAAAACCTAGGAAAGGTACATGTCAATAAAGATACAGGAAAAGATCACCTCCTTCTGGAAGCCAGTGCAAGTCATATGAACAACTCCGGACTTCAGCAAGCACGTACCATCTGCAGAAACAAGGAACGTTTGATAGCCCGCTGTTATGAGCAGTTTACATGTTTTAAATAGCAGTACCTGGAAAGACAGAGCTGAGCACCCATTTGCTTCATCACATCACTTACAAGCTTTTTCTACTATTTAATTACTGCCTGTAGCAATTTTATCTCTGGTGCTATTAAGGCGCTGTGCTTGGAGCTTCAGTTCAAAGTCATTTCATTTGGTGACCATCACCACTTCCCAGACTACATTACAAAAGCAACAAACCCCAAAACTCAGCAGACTGCCAGAGGTGTTTCACAATATTCACTACCTTGTTAGGACAACATAACTATCAAGGTATCGAGTACTGCTAGTTATTGGCTTGGTGGGGGTTTGGTGTTCCCTGGTTCCTTTTGCTTTTTGAGCCACCAACAACAAAAGAACCGGTAAGTGGCATCTGACCTCTATTTTAGCTTATCACTATCAAAAGCAGGGAAATACCTACCAAAATTATAGGTGCTTGGATTAAAATACTGGTCAGGTGGTGGATAAGAAGGAGGAACTCCCCGACTCAGACTCCTTTCATGTACCACAATATCCAAAATAAGGTTTGGAGAAGTCATGCTTATTACAGAATCCAGTGACCACAAGGCAAAGTAGGGGCAATCATGAAGGAATTCTTCTGGCCTTAAAGGAAACAAGTGTGTAAGCAAAACACTGACTTTCCAGTGAATTATTTGTTGGGATACTGAAAAGGGCTACATAAAAATCTACCTTAGTGAGTCTGGCATCTGAGCATGGTACCAGCGATTAATGTCAAATACACCCAAATAGGTAGATGGTTTTGCCTGACCATAGGTATTCACTTGCCAGCTGAAAATTGATATGCTGGTGTCAGGAGATATTACTGTAAAAGACAAGAAATTGAGTATATTCAGAATCAAAGAACAAAATTATCACACAAAAGAAAGAATTAAAAGAACAAAACCCAAGATAGGGGATACTGGAATAAAGATTTTAATTTCAAACACAGACAGTGTTACACTCCAGTTTTCTCAACAAGTGGCATGGTCAGTCTTCTCAAGGGAGAACACATTCTCCAGATGGAAGCAAAGCATGTGTATATCATTTAGACTAACAGATCTTTTGATCCCGACTGTTAGGGAAAATATTTCTCTGCTCTCTGTTAAATTCATCATCATTACTGTTCAGGGATCCTCAAAACACTTTACTGTGTTCCACTGTGCACTTCTTTGCTGTTTGAGTTTTGTCAGCTGCTGAAACTGCCTTTGAAGTTATCAATTCTTTTCATGACTCAGAGGACAGCTTCACTGATGGCTTCAACCAACACACAACAGAACCTGTAACTTCAATTGCGCAGGTTCTAAATAAAAGGCAATTGGAAACAACCAGAAAAATTACAGGTATTTCTCCATGCCTCACATCACTTTTTATTGTTGTTTTCATTTGTTGGGTTTTAGGTTGGTTTGGGGTGGGTTTTTTTCGGAGGGGGGGGGGGGCGGGGGGCGGTGTCACAGGGGTGTTGTTTGTTGAATCATCTGATTGTTCGAGGACAACAGCTGGAAGAATAAAAGAACTATGAGCATTACACAAATGACCCCATCCCATATTGCTATAGCATAAGAGCAAGCATAAAAAACCCTCCATATTTTTTCCCTGAGCAAAGCCCAAGAAGCTAGTCAATATGGATACTCAATACTTGCACACTAGGGGTACAGAACAGCATTCACTGCTTAGAATCCCAAACCTTTTTTTTACAGTAAGCAAACACAGACATCAGAACAAACCTTCATTAACACTATCCTCTCTGTCAACGTGGTTGCGAAATTTTTCCACAGTCTGACAGCTGAGTAGCTTAGTATTGCTGGTCTGCCCTCTCAAGGGGAAGACTCCACCCATGAGCTCTAAACTGTACCTTTCATCACAGTATTCCAAACCCTGGGGTAAAACAGAATAAAGAAATGGTCATTTTGAGATAAAACCCCCATATGTTATACTTAAATAGGAAAAAATGTGTATTTCTAATACAGTATGTATATCATATAGAGATTAATTCTGATAACAGGAACTACATCTGACACTCACAAGGGTGCGCGCAATGGGCATGATTGGCTGTAAAGGCTTTTTGCATTTTCATAACTTAGCATTTCCCAACCTACACTTTGCTCTGAAGCACACACATTCCATTCAAACTCTGGAAGTAACACACATGTGCAGAGTAGATAACAAAAATCAAAACCACCTCTATGAAAAATTAGCGTAAAGCCTAAGCAGAGATTCTCATTTTTTATTGTAGAATGAATGTATCACTAAAACCAGTTTCATCAGATAAAGTAATAAAACTCCATAAATCTGTCAGAGATTCATTTTAATAACTAGAAATTTCAACTCTAATTTTTTAATCTAAATTAAGTTTAATCTTAACTTAATCTAAGTGAAGGAACTCCACTGTATGGAAGATATTAGAGAATGACTTTATCAACCAGGAAAATACGAAGACAGTTTCCAAATGAGATGCACTGGTCGGACTCTGGTATGGAAGTAGAGACTGTACGCTCTGCCACTCCACAAGTATTGCGTAGGACCAAGGTAAAGATGTGCTCCATGATTTGATGCACCAGATTTAGCAACTGTTGAGATGGTATAAAAAAGATCCTTGAACGCATACCTTTGTGTTTAATTACTTGAGCAGACTTGCACCAGCCTTGAAGGCAATCAAGACACAAGCTTGACACATATTTACAAAAACACAGTGTCACATTTTCCAAAAGTCCTCTTAGTGTCTTTTTACCATGACACAAAGTCCAAGATGCACTGTTGCATAGCCTCAACTCTGATTCCTGGAACGTAAAGCACTGCTGTAGTAGACAAGTCTTTCAAGCTCTTAGGAATTCTATTCAATGGACAAGGATTGATCAACAGTTTACTCCTCATGTACTCAAACTTGGCCTGGTAAAGGGGAACTACTCTCAAATTTTCTGCCACTGAGGATGGACAAGAAACCTGACTCAGACTACCATGCAGTCAGTCATGTAGTACTGAGCAATCTGCAACTACAAGGAAATATTCTGAGACTAACACTGTCCACTGTAAAGCACAAATCCTGCCTTGATGCATCTTTGGTGGGGGGCAAGGGGTGGGTTTTGATGGCTTTCTTTGGCAGTAGGTGTTACCAGGTCTTGGTATGAAGCTATATGTGTAAATGTCTCATATGAAACCTAGCTGAAGAACCTGTCTTTTCTCCCCAGAGGGTCCAGGTACTTAGTTTGCTCTTGGACCATCTCGACAGATTAGCTCCTGTTTCAATCTTCCACCACATTTCATCACAGGGAAGCAGAAACTGCAGGGGAGAAAAACACCTCTAATCCGGACTCAGGTGTCTGACACCTCTTATAAGCCTGTGAACGTGTTACTGGTTGCATAGTCTGTGGAGGATTAAAAGTCTTCCATTAACTACATCACTGCTTTCTCAAGCCACAGACACAGTAACATTACTTAATCACACTGGGTGCTTTTTATAGCCTGTCTGCTGGAATTTCTAGAAGACCCATTTTCAAAGGCTGATGAAACATGTGACCCACAGAGATAAAAACTGACATTCACTTAATCTGCTTCAGGAAAATAAGGAGACCAAGTCAAAGAATCGCCAAAGAGTTAAAGGACCCACATTAAAACTTTAAAGGGTTGAGACAAAACGAAGTAGCCATGAGAAGAATGGATATAGACAACTGCTTTTTTTCCAAAGCAGCATACAGCACAAGGTATTGTCTTAGCCACTGCAAAGACTGCAGCTAAAACAGAACTTCTGAAAGATAAAACACAGGAGTTCAACAGTAAAATGAGAGAAAGATTGAGGACAGTTTCTCCTATCAACCGGCCAGAGAGCTTAGAGCACTAAAAAGACTTGCAGCAGTCAACTGTAATGAAAATCTTTTAAAACTGAAAACCCCAATCAGGGTGCTGTGTTGCTCTAGAGCACTGTATTTATGTTATTTAAAGCTGCACAACAAAGATAAAGACATAACATCCATACTTAAAACACACTCAGTTATCTACTTTGTCCCCATGATAGAGAATGCCTTTTCAAGAAACATCACCATTTCCAAGCACCAAGATTGTATCTATTCAAAAGTTATAATTACAAATGAGGAAGAAGCTTTCCTATCTTTAAATAAAAGTTCAAAATTTAAACTCAGGCAAAAAAAGAAAACACATACAGTCCTTATAAAACAAGAGTACCAAGATACAAGAATCATTCCTATTTCATTTCATAACTATTGAGAATATGCAAAAGAAAGTATCAAAATAGGAGAAAAGTTTTGCTCTGAATTAAGATTACTCTCCCCTCTAAAAGAGTTCTGCGGAGTTTGAAGCATACTATGGAGTAGGCAGTATATAGACACATTATCTGTTAAGATATGTCAGAAATAATGATATCCCATCTATATTTTTAACATAAAATCTCTGGAGCCAGTTTCAAAAAATGTATTGTATACCTTTCTAACCAAATCATGCCACTCTTTACTGCATTTACATATTTTGCTGGCTTTAAGAGTAACCCAGCTGACAATTAGAAGAAAAAAAAGAATATAAGACAAAGAGAAGAAGTGAATAAAGACACAGGGAGACAGAGAGAAAATGAGAGAGAGAGAGAAAGGTAAAACCATATTTTAAGGAAGGCTGACAGAAAGAAGCTTCTCTGGGTCCAAAGTCTGGTTACACAAAGGTATTCAAAACCTGTCTACTTGAGCTACACATCATTAATTTGCTGTTTAAATTAAGAACAAGTTTATATCTAAAGGCTGTTTCCTCTTGCACAATCGTATTCATTTGGCCTCTTTGCAGATGACTCTAGTTGGAACACATGGCGCTGCAGTATAAAATTGTTGTGGCTGTCAGAAAGCACAAAGGCCAGGCACAAGAAAACTCAGAAAACAATTCCTTTTTTTCTCTGCTCCGGATTCTAATGGTTTAACATCAGCCCCTCCAGCTCCCCTAATTCTCATTCAGACAAAATTATTATTTTCATCTTTCCACACAAACGCATGTCTTACCTCATACATGACTTGTCCTGAAGCCAAGCGTTTTCTGTCACCAAATGCTAACTGCAACAGATGTAAACTCACAACATCACCTTCACTGAAAAAGGTATCAATGATGAAATTTGATTACAAAGCTGCTCTATAGCTCTCATTATTATTTCATAAGACCTACACTGAAGTTATCTTAATAGCATGCTCTTGTCAAAAAGTAAAACACCATTTCCCAAAACATGACAATTGGTCACATTTGTCCACTAAAACAGATTGGAGGAAATGTGGACACTAACAGCTTCAGTGGCAAATGCCAGCCATACCATATGAAAGCTTTAAGATGTTGCAGGACCAAAAAGGCTTGGAAACAGTTCTTCACAGTGAAGCGTTTGTGATCAAAACTGCCTTAAAGTCAAACTTTACAAGACTGCAGCTGAGCTGATCACATAACTTGGTGATGCTGAGGGAGAAAGCTTTCTCCCTCTCCCTTCCCACCAAAGCCCCAGTCCCTCTCCTGCACACACTGCATCTTCCAAATCCTTATCTGTTTCACCAGCCCAGCAGGAAAACACTGGCTTCTCTCCTCGACAGGGATCATTTTCTGCCACTGGAGCTGAACCAGCTCACAGAGGCTCCAAAGAATGCTGAAGCAGGGTCAAGGCAATCAGCAGTGCTGTCACCTCCTCGTTCTGAGGCAGAAGGCTCCTATATCAGCATGTTTAGTCTTCCACATCTGCAGCCTCAACTACTTCTATTGGTGTTTTCATACCATGGAGAGAAATACAAACAAAATGTGAAGCTGTCATCAAAAAACAAAGGAAATAATTAAGAATGAAAGCACAAAAATACAGCCACTGTTGCTCTGCCTTCTTTTCTGAAGGTAAGAACTAGGAACAGTTCATGTTTGCTAAACCCTTTGAAAATTGCTTTGTAAACTTAATACCTCTCACACCTGAGAGAATCTCCCGCACAGCTAAGGAGAGTCTAACTGATATACATGTAGCAACTCTATGTTAACAAACATATGAAAAGGTGGCTTATAGTAAGGTTTTATTCACCTTTCTTGTGTAGACTGGACAGCCCACAAGTAGCAACAATTGCGAGGGTCATTCTCGGGCTCTTGAAAAGTAACAGCATAGACAGGAATCCTTCCTCCTTCAAGCTGAGAGTGGTGCCTGCAGGTTTTAAACAGAAAAAGAGAAAAGGTGAGCCTACTGGCCCCATCCTTTTTAGAAGGGTAGGAGCATTTTCTGAGCAGACCACCTTGCATCCTTATCCCCAAAGGACAGAAGGGCACACCTCCAGCTCAAACTAGTGAGAAAAGGAAGCGACTACTTTGCATGCAACAGTTAAGAGGTGAGGAAATTACTGCCAATCCAATGCAAGAACCTTGGTTTATGTCCTCCTCTACCTGAGGAGCAGGAGCATAAACGATTACTTCAGCTGCCAGCAGAAAGACTCTTCCTGCTGGTGTAGCCTACTTCAGTACTGAACTAAAAATGCAGCACAGCTTCTAAGCCAATTTAGAACAGCACCAAACAGAAGTAGTTTCTCTTTTCTTTACTTGCACTATGGAAAGCATCTTTCATCCAGACTTCTGAACCTTGTTTGCACCTTCACAATCTATGCTGGTCACCTAATTATTGCTCCCACATCTATTAATGCATCCAAGAGTTTCCAGTGAGTCACTGCAGATTTGCTAATGTGGACAAATGAGATTTTAAGTGAGGTTGCTCATTGGTAGATTTGAGATCATCTCTTAATTCTTCTATTGCTTATGAATTGAGATGTCCCTTACTCTCATTTCCAAGTGTTCCAAACAAACTGTCATTCACAGGCATTGCTGCACTGCAATGGCTCAATCCCCTACTTCAGTCCAGGTTGAAATGCAGGAGAGAATTTAACATTATGCAACGATCAGCTGCTGATTTTTCATATCTCACTAGTTTCTCCCTTTAAACAATTCCGTCTCCAAAATCACATTGTGTACTTAAGCCTTTCAACATATGCGCCAATTCCAGAAACTGGTTCTCAAACATAATTTCCAAAATCTGTTACTTCAAAATACACACATTTCCTGGTTTCACTGAATATTACTGATAGAACAAACTGACTTTAAAAAAAAAAAAAAATCAGCTCAGCTATCACATCCAATCTTCTTGACATAACCCCAAGGAATATGCTTCCCAAAAGTCTTCCATCAATAGGCAGAATAAGTAAAACAACCCTAGGCCACTGGGGAGAAGGCAGTCCATTTAATCATGTATGGCTTCATAGTTGTTTTAGAAGAGGATTTATAAGCATTCCAAAAGGATATTCAACATTTTAGTTCCTCAAAAAGTTTTCTTTGCACCAACATACTTCCTGAAGCAAAAAAATGAGATTCCTGAACCTCCAGCCATGGCAGAGTGTAAAGGCCTACTTACTCCCTCTTCAAAGATTTCATATTCCATAGCGACAGGTAGCCATCAGAAAAACCCACAGCAAGCTGATTGCTTCTACTTATGTAGCACAGCGTTGATATTGATGTTCCTGATGGATTTTGTAATTCAAAACAGAGATGTCTCCCTTCCCTGGTCACAGTTTCTCTTCTTTGTGGAACTTCAGCAGGAATTCTGGTGACAACTTCTAGATCTACACACACAAATCCACAAAACAAACAACTATGTTAAGCCACTGCCATAGCATTTTAAACACCAATATGACGGTTGCTATTTCCACGTTGGTAACTTCAAATATTGTAAGAACTTCCTGACCCGACTGGGATTCTCACCCATACTTCAAACCCATTAAAAGGGTAACCCTCCCAGACAGATTTTTCTTGGACTCTGTAAATCAGGAGTTTGGGCCTCTTGAAGAAGCTATTTCAATTTATATGACTGCAAGCTTACCTGATGCTTCTATTTCATTCTGACTGCAAGATAAATCATCCAAACAAAGGTCAACCAGAAGCAGATGTCCAACATCTGTAGCCACCACTGCCACTCCAAAGAGCCATCGCAGACTCTGATGCAGGTGCCGAGTGCTCACACTGGCTCCTCCATCGTTAGTTATGGGTTCGATAGCCGTTACCTACAGGACAACAGCAAGGGAATGTTTAAGCCATGTGACAATCTACAGCGATATCACTTCCAAGTGAAGCCAGAATTAGCACATCAGAAACAATGACTTAAAGACAAAGCATTGTTTCCAATTATATCATGAAAAAACAAGAAAGAAAAAAACCAAACAAAAAAACCCCAAACAAACAAACAAAAAAACCAACTGCGAAAACATGTTCCATTTACTAGACTTCTTATTCAACTGTATTAATTTCCATTTAACTGGTGCATTCTGTTACTACAGCTTACCAATTTCCATTTCCTACTTAGAAATAATTAAGAAGACATAGAAAAACATTATGTGCCAGAAACTTTATCATATGTAAGGGACTTAAAATCTAGTTCTCCCATTGCTCACAGCCCATCAGCAATGTGACGCAGTTGATGCTGGCTCTGCCAACAGCTACTAGGATAAATCACAGCTGTCAGTCAGATCAGGCAGCAGTTAACTGGCATCATAGACACACCATTCCTATGAGAATTAAATGTGTTTATATTTTTTAGGAGGGGTTGAAAGAAGACAGTAGCTTAGTCACACTTACACTAGTCCTTATTTAGAATAAAACCAACATCCAGATACAGTAAAAAAAGTTTTAAATGTACACCAGCACTTTTAGGAATATTAACCAAAATTTGAGAACAGTGGCAAAAAGAACAGCAGCTTGATCGAAGAAGACGTAACTCTGACTGAGGAAGAACAGCACACCTCTCTTGAACATACGAACCAGTCTGTGAGCAACTTCATTACAAGGCGAAGACAGACCTTTCAGCACCTTCAACCCACCCCGGGGAAAATACTGACCGCTACAGCAGGGATACAAGCACACAAAGATTCCTGTGGTTAAAGCTACACAACAAAATAACACAGGCTACCGTTTAGCCTGCTTACAAATGGAGCATAATGAAAACCGGAAGCTATACAACAACAGTTTCATATGAAAATAAAACAAAGAACTGAACAGCACAAGGGAGTCCAAGTTTTTTTACCTGCAGAGCTGAGGAAAAATAACCAAACGTCTAAGCCCCAGTGTTTTCTCCTCTCCCTTATCATGCACTTGTCATGACTACACTGCCCTTCAATCTACTACAGAATTTGTCTTCCATCTTGGTTACAACAATTCTATCTTAGAAGTACCTATAGAAATTTAAACAACTTTTAGTTTCAGATTCCCTGTAAATCAAACACAATTTCCAATCTTTGCTGATACTAAAAGGACTATCGAAAGTGTTCCGATTATTGAAATTCTTGCTGCTCCAAGTCTTGATGACAGTTGTGAGGAAACCAGAAATATTGTATAAATATCTTGCTACAGAATTAGCCAAGTTCAAGTGTTACTTCTTTTTCCATTTTTTTCATTGTACAACTGGCTCCAAATAAATATTTTCAGTTTTTGCACAGTCTTCCAAAAATATTTCCCAGTTTTAACACTTCAATTTCCCACACAGAAGCTCCTGAAACTGCATATTTTTCTACTGTGCTATGCGCTGCCTTTTCATACTCTCGTAGACTACTGCCAACTCATTCTGGGAATTAACAAAGAAAACTTTTCTCAGCTCACTGAATCTGAATGCTACTCTTCTGCCTCACAAAAACCGGGATAACTCATGAAAATACTATTCAATAGTTGTGAAACATACAACCACTATAAAACTACTTAATACAACTCATGTTTTTAATCCATATTTGCCTTTACTAGAATCCAACTCAAAGAGTACTCCACTAATACTTTCCGTTTTCTGCTGCATTCCACATGGATATCTAGGAGGCAATGAGAGTTGCTCCTGCCAAAAAAAATAATTATGCCAAAATTCATTCTAAACTTGTGAGTTTGGTTTTCTTAAGCCACGCCTTTACTCTCTGAATGACTACACATACAGTGTTAAGTTAAATGGCAGACATACAGACACTATTGCATTTACACACTATTGGCTTCACACCTTGGACAAGAGTTGCTCTAGACTTAACATTAACCTGTACAACTTAATATCCACAGAGATAAACCAACACAGCAAACAGTCTAGAAACAGATACCCATTAAAGCCTTAAACCAGTAATGATATAAACTGTAGAAAGCACTGTTAATAGCAGATCTGCATTTTACCTTTACAAGTAATATGTCTGAAAATCAAAGAAACACTCAAGTAGACTAAAAACATATTATGCAATTTGGAAGTATGAATTACAGAATAAATTCAAAGCATGTGGACAATGGCCAAGCACAAGGTTTATCTCCTTGGTTTCCCTTACCCTTATTCACATCCACAACAGTCCAACTAGCTACACCTGTGTCCTGGCAAAGCTGACCTAACTAATCTAATAGCAAAAAGATAGGAATCAAATTGAAAGCAACAGACCAAATGTAATTGTAGTCAGGAGCATCCAGGGCATAAGAGCAAAACTTCAAATAAGCTTTGGCTTTATTTCAAAACTCATAGCCTCCATCAGACATCCGCCAATACATCCCCCCCATGGCTGCTTCATATATTCTCATTTCTTACGGTATATAAGTCACTAATACAACCAGCAGTTAGAATGACATTCTACTTCGAACCACTTCCACAGACATAGATTCAGTTATGTGACATGATCCTTCTAAACATTTCCTTTTCCAATTCCCAGCTTACTTAGATTTCAGAAATAAAACTTAGAATCATAGAATAGTTAGGGTTGGAAAGGACCTCAGGACCATCTAGTTCCAACCCCCCTGCCAAGGCCAGGGACATCTCACACTAAACCATGTCACCCAAGGCTCTGTCCAACCTGGCTTTCAACACTGCCAGGGATGGAGCATTCACAACTTCCCTCGACAATCTATTCCAGTGCCTCACCACCCTAACAGTAAAGAACTTCTTCCTTATATCCAGTCTAAATTTTCCCTGTTTAAGTTTTAACCCATTACCCCTTCTCCTATTCTCTACAGTCCCTAATGAACAGTCCTTCCCCAGCATCCCTATAGCCCCCCTTCAGATACTGGAAGGCTGCTATGAGGTCTCCATGCAGCCTTCTCTTCTCCAGGCTGAACAGCCCCAACTTTCTCAGCCTATCTTCATATGGGAGGTGTTCCAGTCTCCTGATCATTCTCGTGGCCCTCCTCTGGACTTGTTCCAACAGATCCATGTCCTTTTTATGTTGAGGACACCAAAAACTGCACACGATACTCCAAGTGAGGTCTCCCGAGAGCAGAATAGAGGGACAGGATCACCTCCTCTGATCTGCTGGTCACGCTCCTTTTGATGCAGCCCAGGATACGGTTGGCTTTCTGGGCTGTGAGCACACACTGAAGCCAGGTCATGTTCAGTTTCTCATCAACCAACACCCCCAAGTCCTTCTCCACAGAGCTGCTCTAAATCTCTTCTCTGCCCAACCTGTAGCTGTGCCTGGGATTGCTTTGACCTAGCTGTAGGACCTTGCGCTTGTCACAGTTAAACTTCATGAGCTAGGCATCACAACACCTCACAAGCGTGTCAAGGTCCCTCTGGATGGCATTCCTTCCCTCCAGCGTATCAACCGAACCACACAGCTTGGTGTCTTCAGCAAACCTGCTGAGGGTGCACTCAATCCCACTGTCCACGTCACCGACAAAAATGTTGAACAAGACTGGTCCCAACACCGATCCCTGAGGGACACCATTCTTCCTACTAGTAATCACTCTGCAGCATTACAAATAAAACCCCAAATGGATTCTAGCAAGTTAACCCAAAACACATTATAGAAAGCTGAGCAACAGTTTTGCTTTGTTGAGATTCTAAGAGTAAAAAATATAGTGAACCTTAAACTTCTTTTATGCTGATTTTTGTTTACTTTAAGAAAATTCCCATTTTTGGAAGTGGAGAATTAGGTAACTGTGCCATCTACAATAAAACAAGAAAGCTTGTTTTAGTAACACTGAACTCAAAAGATAATGCTGCTGTTAAGACTAAGATCTTATATTAAAGCTCTGTTTGACTGCATACTCTAAAGTGACAATATGTTAACCCAAGACAGTAAAACCACCTCCTACAAAGAGACACTCCAAACCTTTTCTTAAAACATGGTTATGCAGCACCTAACAACTTAAAAGCTTTGTTTTTCTGATTAAAAAGTACGTACCCTTCCTGGAAGAACAACTGCTTTAACCACTCTTGATATTGCCAGGTCATACAGACAGAGCACACTTCCTTCTGCTTCTTCCAACCCAACCAGCAGCCCAGTTCTCTTCTGCCAGGAAAACTCCTTTACCACACGGACAGTGGGGGGCTGTTCATTTACTCCACCAAAACGATAGGCAGAGAGCCGCTCTCCTGTCACAGAGTTCACTACCTCGAGCTGAGGACCACACGCCAGCCAGGCCAGGACATTTCTCCCTGGAAGAGGAAAGAAAGCTGATGAAAGCAAATCTCCAACAGAAGACTGGAACAGATGAAAAGTCACTGTCAATGCCCCTGTCCTTCAAGATATGGACCTAACAAAGGAAAACTAATTTACCCAGTTCTGGTCAAGTATTTAAAATCACCCACTGAACTCTTCAAGCAATACATCTTAGAATTAACAAACCTATTATTTGCATTTGTCATTCCTGCAATGAAGAATTCTGACTGGGATATAGTGACATATTGCTCTATAGTCTTTGTACCATATTCAGCTTGCCCTTGCTAGAAACCATCTGAATACACACAGGAATATAAGTCTTAATGCCTGTTTCAAATATAATAAATCTAAATCAATTCATTTCTACTTTATTAATTTCATTGATACATACTGCTCTGGGCAGGGATTTGGAGCTTAAAACAGGCACTGCAGGCTGTTGCCATTTTCAAGTTTAACTATACTAATGATTTAACATTAGAATTTCTAACACCTGAGACATCCTTTTTGTCCTCTCGGAAACTGATGCATCATAACAGCACCAACCAGACACAGTTGATGCTACGGCCCTATGCTTTCAGGCAACCTCCAGGCACAAATCACTTTCTACAAGATCAAATCTGAAGGAAAACACTCACCTCCAGAAAACTTCCCGCACAGCACAGAGTCCAGGCTTATCTCATCTTCCCCAAGTGCCTGAATAGTCACCTCTGGAAACCGCAGCAGACTGCTTGTTGCCCGAGCCCTTAGGTCTCGCATTCTTCACTGTAAATAAAGAAAAACATGCAAAACCATACTCATGTCAGCAATCAATATTTTTGACATTAACAAAAGTTTCATCAGCATGCAGGGAAAAATTCTCCTGTGAGTTGCCTGAAGCTCCTCTCCTTACAAAAATGGCAATCAGGACAGCTTTTGATCTCTCAGCAGAGCACAAGCAGAATCCTTTGCTTTTCTGACACCTGGGAGATCACCAACAAATAGTGATGCACAAAGTCTTGACAAGACAAGTAACAGAAACAATACAATACACTGAGTTCAAGTTCAAATCTGCTCACATGGGTTTCTGAGGGGCAACCTGAGAAAAAACATCTTTTAAAAAGCTTCTCAGGAAGAGGGGTAAGGTTGCATTTGTCTTTTTCCTTGATTTTATGCTTTGTTGTTTCTTGTCATTTGTCTTCTAGATGATTTCATGTTATCATTTATGTTTTAATCACTTTTGCATGTTCAGTTTGATCATTAAGGAACACTAAGTTCTTCACTACTTCCATTCCCCAAAACTGCTCTGGAAAATGTGCTGTTGATATTTCCACATCATAAGCAATAGACTTCAGAACAATGAGGTCATGCAGAGGTAAGCAGTGGAAGGTACCAGAGACAATCTCAAGTTTCTTGTATTCGCATTCAAAACCACCCTGCTGGTATTTTCACACTACAAGCAATACATAAGCATTCATAGCTCATCAATCATTACTTATGATAGGAACGTAGTAAAGCACTTTAAAATACTGGTATTTTTCTAGACTTGAATCCATTACACACATGCTGACCAACTCAAGCATCAGAGCCCTTACCCTACGCTACTAGCTAGTGCTACCAACCAGTTAAACATACACAGAAAGCCTGCTGCATCAACTGTACCATACCTGTTCTCCTGAAAATGAAGTTTTATGACTGTTTCTTCCAGCACACACTAATAACCTGTTTCCCTTATAGCTAGTTTTGAAGACTAGACTCTTGAGAGCAACATAAAATTACTTAAGGGAAATGTTTATAAAGAAACACTGTTTATATTAGTTGTTGCGTCTTTGGAGGAAGATTATGACCTCAACATAAGAATGACCTGGAACTGTTAAAGCAAGTCCAGGGGAGGGCTGTGAGGATGATAAGGAGGCCTTATACCTCCCATATGAAGACAGGCTGCAGAATTTGGGGCTGTTCACCCTGGAGAAGAGAAGGCTGCGTGAAGACCTCGTAATACCCTTCCTGTATCTGAAGTGGGGCCTAAAAGGGTGTTGGACTCTTCATCGGGGACTGGAGAAACAGGACAAGGGGTAATGAGTTTAAACTTAAACAGGTGAAGTTCAGCTTAGATATTAGGAAGCAGTTCTTTACTGTGAGGGTGGAGAGGCACTGGAACAGGTTGCCCAAAGAAGCTGTGAATGCCCCATCTCTGTCAGTGTTCAAGGGCAAGCTGGACAGAGGCTTGGGTGACACGGTCTGGTGTGAGGCATCTCTGCTCATAGCAAAGGGATTCGAACTAGATGATCTTGAGGTCCTTTCCAACCATTTTATGATTATGCTCTAAAGTCTGGTTATTGGAATCTACTATACATTTCAAGTCCCAAGTACTCTATTTAAAAGTACATTCTAGCGTCTTCTGCAAGCATGAAAACAAGAAGCACGTAACACTTGGAAAGCATAAGTCAGGGTCTCGTATTAAGCACAAGTCAACATTTGGAAAAAGAATGTTGCCAATGGCAAAGCCAGCACTGCAGGATGCTGCTGAGGCCAGCCCACCTGACCACTCTGCCAGCCTTCACAACTAGCACAGATCAAGTTCCAAGTGGGACAGCTTAGCCAACTAGCTTTTTGGGGTTTGCTTTTTTATACTTGTCATCATTTCAAAGTGACAGCAGGGTGAATTTTTGCACGGCATCCAGGGGCTTCAGTGAGTAAAAGGAACCACAATTTGACCAGCATTCCGTCTTAGTTTAATTGTAATGATTTAATAAATGTGTTTTATGAGTAACCGGTAATACCAAATACAAATGTATACTGATATACTGAGCCGGTTAACAAGTTTGTGCCCAGTGCCTCTGGTCTTGCAACTCAGCCCCACTGCAAAGTGCCTGGCACCATCTTCTAAACCCTCTCCTTTCAGGTATTGATATGCATTGGTGAGATCCACCCTGAGCCTTCTCTTCTGCAGGCTGAACACTGTCAGCTGTCCCAGCCTTGCCTCATAAAAGATGTGCTCCAGTCCCTCCATCTGCTACTGTAGCCCTTTGCTGCATTCTCTCCAGTGCCTCCCTATCTCTCGTGTATCTCCCCCTATCTCTGGGGAGCCCAGACCTGGACACAGCACTTAAGGCGCGGCCTCACCAGCTGCACCTCCTCCTCGTGCGGCCCAGGGTATTGTAAGCCTTGTTTGCTTCAGGGTCACACTTCCTACTGAGGGTGCACTGCCCCATCACCCAGATCTCTAACTAAAATGTCCAACAGACAACACTTCTCCTCATGCAGCCCAGGATACCAGAAAGCCTTTTGGCTATAGGGGCATGTTGCTGGCTCACGGTAAATTCCGGGTCCGCCAGGACACCCAGGGTCTTTTTTGTCAAGATAATTCCCAGCTGGGCAGCCCCCAGAGTATACTGAAGAGGGAACAAGTATCTTCCAGTACAGCAGGAAACAGCATTCTAGAAAGCTTCTCAACCGCATGCTCTCCATGAGTCACCCTGAGTCACCCTGCCTTCACCACTAAGTACCTGCACAAGCCAAGAACACACAACTTTATGTGGCCAAACTGGAAATAAAATTTTAAGCTACACTACTGGGGAGATCTGAATTTGAAAACAAATCAGTCACCACCACAAACTCCCCATCAAATCAGATTCTTCTCTGGTGGAAACCTCAGACCTTGACACAGTGTAGTCCTGTCTACAGCACACATCAAGTGTGATTATCAGTCCAGTACCACCAGTAAGTATCATCAAGTAAGCAACACTCCAACACCTGGAGTATTCACTTTAAATTTAATCATGCAACAGTTGTTAGCTGCATATGAAAGCATATGAAAACGCTACAGATCATCAGGCATGCCGACGTTTCTTCTAGTAAGCCAACAGGAATTTTTTCTAGGCACCTGGCCTGACTGTATGGAACAAGGGCAATAAACTTCGTAATAAATAATGAACAACATACAGTGATTTGGTTATTAGGATGTTTTACCTGTATCACTCTATATCCTGGGTTCAGCAGTTTAAAGTTTCACAGTTTCAGTTCAGAGTTTAAACCATAACACTCTACTAAGTTAAACAAAGGACTACTGAGAAATCTGATGGCAGGAAAATAGAGCTAGATTATAAAGGCATGAAGTTTCTGCTTTAAGAGATATATTCAATAGTAACTGCATTACTGTCCTCTTTGAAAACAGTGACAGTGACAACAATCCCTAGAATCCCTAATTCTATCTGTTAGAAATCAATTAATGCAAATATACCACAAGCTTACTCCACGTCCAGGGAGTAAACCTCTCACCTGTGTCCTAAACCAAACCGCTCTGTGCAAAAGTTGCTAAAATGGCCATTCTTCAGCCTTGATACATATGACTTCCAAACATCATGAACTATTTCCAAAGAAAGGAACATGCCACAAGTCACAGACTCATGACAGTGGGGTTAGATTTTTGTGTGAAACAGCTCTAGGGTAAAAAAAAAAATTAAAAAATGTACAGGGTGAAGCCACACGTTCAAGCAGAGCCACATACAGCCAAGGGTTCTGGGATGTCAGTTCTGACTGACAGCAGTGCATGAAAACTGGTTTCAAAGGCCTACGACTTTATGGCCTTACTGAAGGAAAAGCTAAAAACACTGTCAATCACAGCTGAAGATAATACTTCACAAAACATATTGACTTCACTGTCACTAAAAGAGAGGCCTTGTTGCTACCTCCCTTCTTCATCTGCTTCTTTGTTCTACTATTGTACTCTTGTGCCTAACCTTGCACTGACTTGAACACTTTTTAGAGCACTTTATAAGCAAAGTTAGCCCACAGAGCAGAGAGGAAACTAATCCAGAGAAGCATACAGTTTTCCATGAGGTTGAAGAGTCCAACTGCCTTGCAGAGAGAGCTAGCAGGCATAACAGTTGGCACGAAGAAGGAGGCAGAACAATGCAATGGAAGAAGTAATGTCTATCTCCATTTTGTGGCAGTTAAGCCGCTATGCTAGCTGATACACATGTGAAACTACACACTCTGTTGCAAGGAGAGCTAAGGACCCTTTCACTTTTAAGGGAAGACACCACCCAAAACACAGTCAATTTCTAACTCCTTCTTGCACAAAAAGAAGAAAAAGTTCTGAGAAAAACAGCATCCACTTTGTTGAATAAACAGCCAAGGGATGGTAAAAGCATCATGGAATTTTCTAAATTCCCATTCATTACCAGTTCAATGACATTTTCACCAGGAAAGCAGGAAACAACTCACAAGCATTGGAGGAGCAGTAGGTGGAAAAGACACTTCCTGTACATCAGTAGTCAGGGCCAGTGAATTTGTATTTTGCCGTATTTCACTCCTGCAGAAAGAGGATTTAGTGAGTAAGTCAGCAGGTGATTTAGTGAGTATCACTGTTGCACTTTAGGCAGAAAACTTCCCCCCAGTGTGTTAAGCAAAACCCTACGTCCAAATGCTAAATTTTAGTCTAAAAAGCCACTTGCAGAGCAGAGACTATGTTGGAATTCTAAAAACAGGTTTATTTCACTCAAGTGCAGCTCTTGCAGAGTGCATGCACATGTTCCACAAGCTCTCCAAGAAGCATTAATCTACAGCAGAGGATAAGAATTTCAGCTCTCTACCCAACAGCTAAGATCCCATATAAGAGGCAGATTGCAGGTTTGTTTTTCCTTTAACTGAAAAATCAGTCAAACCCCACACAGACTAGAATTTGACACAAGAGCCAGTTCACCCAGCTACCTGCAGTGGTTATTCTCTTAACATTACTATACTTGCATTAGGAGTTGTCTCCACCACGTAAGTAAAACAGCTCCACACCAGAAAAGGCTAATCACCATTATTTCTCTAAAACTGTATCCATCAACTTACCAGGGAGAAGACATAAAACTAAGAAAAGTCTGAGTAAGTTCATTACAATGTCTTAAAAATGCAAACTTCAAGCAAGTCAATGGAGGAAGACAATGCATTAAGTGAAGCAGGAGCTGTCCTCAGCAGAACGGAGACAGTACTGTGTGCCCAAACACACGTGACAGCTGCCAGCCAAAACTGATCCAGGTTGAACAAGCCACCTGAACTACCACACAAGCAGGGTTCGGCATTCCGAACAGAATTAACTCCCTACACTGCTCATCATTTTACCAAACACGATCAGGAAGCAATTATTAGACCTGGAAGACTCACACCACGCTGCTTTCTCATGGCAGAAGTTCCAGACCTTAAGTCATGGGTTATTAAGGAAAAAATAGCTTTTGCTTCAGTCGGCAACTTTGCTGCGCAATGCAAGCAAAGATCTAGAGACCCCCGCAAATTGCGTTGCATTACTGTAAAGCTGTGCTCTCCCGATCAAACCCAGCCCTTTTCCCGCGACCGCCGCAGTGAATTTCCCGCCTACTTCTCCAAAGAACACCGACAGGAGGGACTCAAAGGAGAATATTATTAAAAAGGAAAACCCTCCAAAAAGTGACCGAAGGCCCTGCGGGAGGTGAACGGGCAGAGAGCACGCTCCCGCCGGCAATCGCCGCATCTCGCACGCCCCCAGCCTCTGCCGGCCGCCTCCCGCCTTCGGAGGCTCGCACGCCGCCGCCTCCCATGTGCGCTGCCCAGGCCGTGCCGCTGGCCTCCCCGGCCTTTCCCTCCTCAGCGGGGCCACGTGTGGCGGGCAGAGGGCCGCGGCCCCTGGGGTCACTTACATAAGGGGACGCGCGACGGCAGCCGGGCCCACCCAGGGGCTCCGCCGGCCCGCGCTGCGCCAGCGGCGGAGGCCTAACCGCGTCGGGGGCGCCCGGTACCTACCGGCACGGGGGAAGGAAGCAAGGCGGGCAGCCGGGAGTCGCCTCCGCCCCCTCGGTCGCCTCCGCCTTATGCTCCCCGCGCCGCTCCCCCCTGGCCGCCCACGCCAGCCCGCTTGTCCCCCGTACGTGCAGATGAGGGCGGCGGCATCTCCCGCAGCGGGTACAAAGGCCTCGACCAGCCGCACGCCAGCCCGGCCACACCACAATATCTTGCTACGTCACCGAAAGCGCCCGGTGGGCTACGCGCCCTGTTAGGTGCCGGGCCGCACCGCGCCCCTCCCCCCGCGCGCGGCACCCACCTCGGTCGCTCGCCCGCCGCGCTGGGGGCGGGGCTGGGGACGGAGTTCTCGCGGGAGCTGCGAAGGCAGCCGCGGGAGTTTTCAAAGTCGAGGGGTAGGAGCCCTTGGGCGGTGGCCAGCGTCGGACTGCGTGTCCCAGCGTGCCGCGCCGCACCGCCCGCCGCTTCCGCTTCTGGTGAGGGCCGGCTTGGCACGGGGCATGGCGGGAACTGTAGTTCCTGGGCTACTCCATCAGCCGTGCTCTTACCGCCGGGGGTCTAGGAGGCGATCTTAGAGCCCTCAGGAAGCACATCCCATCCACCACAAAACCACGCGTTCTGCAGAGCCCACTCTTGGCCCACAGCACCTCATACTGGGGGGCTCACCCTCGCCCGTGAAGGGGGAACACACTATGGCAGGGGGACGGTGTCGTCGCCCAGCCTGCGTGCCCCTCTGGGCGCAGGGGCCGCCTGTCCTGCTTCGGACTCTTGGTGGATGCTGAAAACGTGTTTCAAAGGAGCTCAGCCCTCCCTAGGTGTGAGGCCCCGCTGGCAGGGGAAGTGTCCCTCCCAACTGGGGTCTCCTCTCAGCAAGCTCAGCCTAGAAATGGAACTCCTTTGTAGTAGCTTGCAGGCTTTGTTTGTCTTTTCTTACACCTCAGTACCGATTCTTGCCAGCACAGCTGTTGCAGCAACAACTGCAATATTGGCAGTGCCAGTGAAATCTCATGAGGAGATGCAACCGTATTTCAGTGAACCCTGAGCCTGGTACCACCATGTGAAGTGTCTGAAAAGGCAGTGGCTCTGTATCAACATCCTTCAGCAGTCCCTATCAGGTATATGCCAGGAGTATCTTCTCATGAAATAAGTGCCAATGAGAAGAAGACTTTGTACATTTTGTAAATATACAGGTTTCCAGGTATGCTTGGTTCCCAGTGCCTAGTTTATTGCAGTTTTTCCTACTTGACTGCAAAGGTCTAAATAGCAAAGAAGCAGAAACGTAGTTAGACTTCAATAAAATTATACTGGCGATTAAAAATACTTAAAAATTGTAGCCTAAAAAATACTCATATGACAGCACAAATAAGCATTTGTTTACAAATAGAAACCATGATTATTGTATGCATTCACCACTGGGCAGCTGGAGGTACTTACCTATACAAAATGATTATTTACAACCAGCATGATGATAGTTCTTTTTATTGATTTGCCAAGCTGATTTATTATTTTCTACCCAGTTATTTTACAACATAAGGTGCGTCACCATCACCTTGGCAAGACACACATCCTTTCAGGTTTTGCCTCTTGAACATCAGCAAAGTTAGGAGACAGAAGTATCACTGTAGTTCTGAATTACTCTTTGTCGAATCCTAGTTTGTGCCTTTTGATGTTCTGGGTGTTGTTTCAGTTAGGATGTGATGGTGATAACAGACTGATATATCTCATGTGCAACATTGTTTATGTGCAAAGAATGAGCAAAATCATATGTTCTTTTAGCAAGCAAGAATTAGATGACAGAAGATATTTTCAACCCCCTTTCTAACTAACAGTTGCCACTAGGAGCCCATCTTTTTCTCCAGTTATCCAAGTACTAGCCAATTTGTTCTTTTTTATCATGTGTGTTCAAATCTCCATCAACATTGCAGAAGACAGTTTTTAATCCATCAGGCCATGCCTGTTAGAATATGGTATCCCTTGTATTTCAGATACCAAAAGAGCTTAATTTCTTTTATGCTTCAATAAAAGAAATCCATTAACCATCCCAGCTTCAACAGAGCATAACACAGTCACTAACATGCTTAAATGGCAGCCACATACTTTCTTTTATGTGAATGTTTCACTGTTATCACAAGTTAAGTAAAGCTCACTGAATTTATGGTATGCCTGCAGCATAATTTCTTCTCCTCCTTCAGTTTAAATTAAGGATCTGTCTTCAGTTTTTATCTTTAAAAGCAAAAGGAGAAAATTTGGTCTTCGACATTTTAACAGAATTTACACTTCCTTGGGTTTTTTTTCTCCAACCCACATAGTATCCTTCACAAAGAGGTTCATTGCACGTCAGAGCCAAGATAGTTTTCATTACAATTTACAAATTGTCCAGAAAATACCAGAGCTATTAAGTGGCACTCCAGAAGTTTAATACATACCTTCTCTCTCCACACTCCCACATATATGTCCTAAAATACCCCACAAATGATAAGCATGAAAATCAGAACAAGCCAGTTCTTGCATTCTAGACCTGTCCAGCACATTCATAATGAATTTAATCGATTTTTCAGCAAAACAGCTAAACTTTGAGATGTATGTTTCAACCTGCAACACATGCTCAAAAAGCTTTACTGGAAACAAAAAATCCCAAACCAAACAAAAAACCAACTTGGGTAATAACACTAAATGATCCTACTTGAGATTTCTATGTACTCTTTCAGAACAGTATCTTCTTGTAAGTGAGGACTAATTTGTTTCCCATTACAGCAAGGACTCCCATGTAAGACTCAGAGTTTCTTTAAGGACACCAATTCATTTAACAGAAAATTCAGAAGAAAATACCCTCAATATAAAACATTTCCACTGAACTTTCTAGAATATAGTCTACACAAATCATCTAAGGCACGTGATTCAAAGATGACCAGCAGGCACCCACCTCTTTCTTCACCTCCTGCTTGCTTCCCCACCCCCTAGTCCCTCTGGATTTTAAAAGTCTCTGTCTTTATAGTAGACATTTTCAGATATTAATAAGCAATCCTGCAATGCTTCTAAGTGGGAGGAGCATCAAAGGAGTGACAAACACATTCAGTTTCTCCCAGCACTACTAACAGCATGCATTACCTCTAAATTACTGCTGTGCCTCTTAGTAAGTCAACCATTCTTTAAATTATTATGCAAATGTTGATCGTGACTTGGTGACTGCTGTTGCCACTTTAGATCTATTAATTTGTAGCATATGAGAGCACCAGTCGTGGACAAGAAGCCCAACGTGCAAGGCAATGAAGTTGCATGGGACAGTTCCTGACCTAATGGGGGAGATTGTGCACAGTCACAAGGCACCAGTGAGACACTGTTTGGCTTCGCAAAAGGAAGCCTGACTTCTGAAGTGTTTCTAGCAAGGAAAAGGGGAATTTTTAAGGTGCATTACTTTGCAGCTGTGTGCAGCAGCTCCTCCCAGACAAGCTGGGCAGCGTGCCACCATCAGGACTGTGTATGAGAACATACCAAGGGGGTGATAGCACCCACTGATGGGTGATGGCAGGGTTGGCTCTGTCATGTGTGAGAGGCTGTGCCCGAGACAGGCAGAGCTGGCGTAGGCTATGCAAGGACTTGAAAGTGAGGACAAGTGTCTCATCTGATGTGACAGAGTAGCAAGCTAGGGAAGAAATGCAAAGACAGGCATGACAGCACTGGAGGACCAGCTAGAGTCATATCCTTTGCTGTGGCATTTGGAGTGAATATCTGCAGGACAGGACTGTGTTTATTAAGGGCAGGACAAGCAATAAGCATGATTCAGAGTAGCAACAGTTTGGAAGAGAGCCTTAGCTGTGTGGGTAGAGACAGAAAGGCTTTGTGTCAGGAATTATTTATAGAGCAAACCTTGCAAAGCTCAGACATAACCTGAATAAGGACACAGAGAGAAGTCTGGACCAAAGATGTGCCCCCAGTTGTAGGCATAAGTAAACACTGGCCTAAACAGCAACTGAAGAGTTGCATGATGAAGTGGTCTGGTTTAGGTGAGCTTGAGCTTGAACTGACAGCAAGGCTTATCTGAGCAGGCCTCAGAGAGGTGGGCAAGCCTGTGTTTGTAAAGAAGGTCAGCTATTCGTCTTACCCCAGTTTTAAGTGTCTACAGTGCAGTCACCAGCATCAGAGCCTGGTGAGGTAGAGGAAGGAAACAGGTTTTTCCTGGGTGCCATTCATCTGACCTGCTTTGAATACATCCTATAGGATTAGCTGTAAAAGGAGTCTAGATGACGTTGCAGATGGACACACCTATACTGTACCCTTTTATTTTTGGTCAGGTTGATCTCACCTTTAGAGAATATGCTGAATAGAGCACTGGGTCTTTAAGTTGCTCAGCAGCTGAGTTTATGTTTGTGGTTGGGATTAGGAAGGAAGGAAGGGGGGAAGATGCTGCAACTGAAATTGTATGCAAATTGCATACAAATTGAAAATGTTCAGCTAAACTGGAAAAATCATCTTGCTACAAGATGTGGCCAAGCTATATTTGAAAGCTAATGTTCTTATTTAGCTAAGTTAATGATAGCCAAATGTAATTGTTAGGGCTGGGTAAGGAGCAAGGGGAGTCACAGCTGCAGCAGCACAGCAGCTCTGAAATGGGGCCCCTAAGACCTAGGCACTACTTCTGCCAGTGCCTGGGCAGGGGGTGCTGATGCACCTCATGCATCAATACCTTATTGGGGTATCTAGCCTCAGTGATACCCCCTTCTCAGAGAAATCTGGAGCACAGTGCCGGGTTTGGGGCTCCATCACCCCTGCCTTCTGCACTGAGGCTAACCTTCTCCTTTGGGAGACCTGTGGGAAGAGCCCAAAAGCAGTTTGTGAATTACACGGAGTTGGAGGTGGGGTTCAGGCTTTCCTGTGATGTCCTGGTCAGCACAACCTTCCTTCCAAGTCAATAAGTCAATATCTAATTATGGGTGAGACTTGCTAACATGGTCTGCTGCTTTGTGCAACACCTGGCACTGCAGTCTGGCTGTCGCTCCCGTATATCCAGTCAGCATCCATTTTTGCCTTTGTGTCACATTTGAGTATGTGTGAATCTGCCTCAACAAGCTAAAATGGAAGTGATGCATTTTTTATAGTATTTTTTCCAAATCATTGTGAAGAGCTTACA